CAGCCTCAGTCCCTTTCCTTTTCCCCCTCGGCAGCCTCAGTCCCTTTCCTTTTCCCCCTGCAGCCTCAGTCCCTTTCCCCCCCCCCAACAGCCTCAATCCCTTTCCTTTCCCCCCTCTGCAGCCTCAGTCCCTTTCCTTTCCCCCCCCCAACAGCCTCAGTCTCTTTCCTTTTCCCCTCAACAGCCTCAGTCCCTTTCCTCAACAGCCTCAGTCCCTTACCTTTCTCCCTCAACAGCCTCAGTCCCCTTTCCCCCCTCAACAGCCTCAGTCCCTTTCCTTTTCCCCCTCTGCAGCCTCAGTCCCTTTCCTTTTCCCCCTCTGCAGCCTCAGTCCCTTTCCTTTCCCCCCTCAACAGCCTCAGTCCCTTTCCTTTTCCCCCTCTGCAGCCTCAGTCCCTTTCCTTTCCCCCCCAGCCTCAGTCTCTTTCCTTTTCCCCTCAACAGCCTCAGTCCCTTTCCTTTTCTCCCTCAACAGACTCAGTCCCTTTCCTTTCTCCCTCAACAGCCTCAGTCTCTTTTCTTTTCCCCTCAACAGCCTCAGTCCTTCCTTTCCCCCTCAACAGCCTCAGTCTCTTTCCTTTCCCCTCAACAGCCTCAGTCCCTTTCCTTTCCCCCTCAACAGCCTCAGTCCCTTTCCTTTTCCCCCTCAACAGCCTCAGTCCCTTTCCTTTCCCCCTTAACAGCCTCAGTCCCTTTCCTTTTCCCCCTCAACAGCCTCAGTCCCTTTCCTTTCCCCCCTCAACAGCCTCAGTCCCTTTCCTTTTCCCCCTCGGCAGCCTCAGTCCCTTTCCTTTTCCCCCTCGGCAGCCTCAGTCCCTTTCCTTTTCCCCCTCAACAGCCTCAGTCCCTTTCCTTTTCCCCCGCAGCCTCAGTCCTTTCCTTTCCCCCCCGCCTCAGTCCCTTTCCTTTCCCCCCTCGGTCAGCCTCAGTCCCTTTCCTTTTCCCCCTCGGCAGCCTCAATCCCTTTCCTTTCCCCCCTCTGCAGCCTCAGTCCCTTTCCTTTCCCCCCCTCAACAGCCTCAGTCCCTTTTCTTTTCCCCCTCACCAGCCTCAGTCCCTTTCCTTTCCCCCCTCAACAGCCTCAGTCCTTTTCCTCCCTCAACAGCCTCAGTCCCTTTCCTTTCCCCCCTCACAGCCTCAGTCCCTTTTCTTTTCCCCCTAGGCAGCCTCAGGCCCTTTCCTTTCCCCCCTCAGCCGCTTAAGCGGCTGAGGGGGTAAAGGAAGGGGCCTGAGGCTGTTAGGAATGGTGGGAGTTGAAGTCCCAAACTCCTTGAGGGCCCAAGTTTGCCCATGCCTGAACTAGAACTTGGCCTTCGGGTTTTAAAAACCACACAAAAGGCTCAAACCCCTGCAATGGGTTGGTCACTTCTACATCAACCGGAAAAGTGAGTGATGGTGACCCAGGCCCAGCGAAAAACGCCGTGGCTTAGAAGTGGGACGTTGGCCAAAGACGGCTAGAAACGAATACGTTGCTCCGAGTAGTAAGGGGCCAGTGCAGGGGAGAAAGGAGAGGAGGGAAATAGTTTCAAGGAATACTAATAGACGGGGAAGGATGCTGCTACCCAGACTTGGCTGTGCTACGATTCCTCTTCCTCCATTCAGTGGAAAAAGCCATGCCTTCTATTCATAAAATGTATTCTTCTGACTTGACTCAGCCCCTCCTCTGCTCCTCGCAGAGAGAGAGGAGGATGAGCAATGCTGTATATCCTTTCTCTCTCTCTCTTTCTCCATACATGGCACAGAATAGTTTCCTTGGCTACTCCAAATGCCAGCTCCAGCCTCCCGTCCCGAAATAAAGCACTTGATGCTCCATGTTCTCCTGCGTGACGTCAAACAGCTTCCCTCTTGCCTCCTGAGTCCACAGACAATGAAAGGGAGCTGGAGAGGGAGCCGCGAGAGAGAAGGGCCCGACCCCTTTCCCCTTGAAAAGTGTGTTTGCAAAGGCCGAAGCCACGCTTTTAATCAAGTACAGTCTGAACACAACAAGACAGTGAAGGGTGTGCTGTAAAAAAACACAAAAAGAGGGTATTGTGTAGAAGAGAAAACTCTCCTTTCTTCCTCTTTTACAATGTCACACTGTCGAAGGCTTTCACGGCCGGAATCATTGAGTTTTCTGGGCTGTATGGCCATGTTCCAGAAGCATTCTCTCCTGACATTTCGCCTGCATCTATGACTGGCATCCTCAGAGGTCGTGAGGTCTGTTGGAAACTAGGCAAGTGGGGTTTATATATCTGTGAGAGAGAACAAAACACTAAAAAAGCAGGGGAAATCCAGACAAGAATCCATCAGGGCCATCTAACACCTCCAAACAAAGGATTCCCCCAGGCACTCTCCTTTCTCCGTCTTTTACAATGTCAGACTGTCGAAGGCTTTCACGGCCGGAATCATTGGGTTGCTGTGAGTTTTCTGAGCTGTATGGCCATGTTCCAGAAGCATTCTCTCCTGATATTTCGCCTGCATCTATGACAGGCATCCTAAGAGGTCGTGAGGTCTGTTGGAAACTAGGCAAGTGGGGTTTATATATCTGCGAGGGAGAACAAAACACTAAAAAAGCAGGGGAAATCCAGACAAGAATCCATCAGGGCCATCTAACACCTCCAAACAAAGGATTCCCCCAGGCACTCTCCTTTCTCCGTCTTTTACAATGTCAGACTGTCGAAGGCTTTCACGGCCGGAATCATTGGGTTGCTGTGAGTTTTCTGAGCTGTATGGCCATGTTCCAGAAGCATTCTCTCCTGACATTTCACCTGCATCTATGACAGGCATCCTCAGAGGTTGTGAGGTCTCTTGAAAACTAGGCAAGTGAGGTTTATATATCTGGCAGGGGACAGCTAGTCCAGCAATAAAATCAAAACATAATACAACAATAAAATCAAAACATTAACAACAAACCGCAACAATGGCAAGCATCCTCAGAGGTTGATGGGTCTGTTGGAAACTAGGAAAATGGGGTTTATATACCTGTGGAGGGAAAAAAAAATCAAAAAGCAAAGGAATACCAGACAAGAATCAGTTAGGACCAGCTAACACTTCCAAACAAAGGATTCCCCCAGGCAGCAACCAGTCAGTCTTTGAAGCTGGAAGGCCATTCCAGCTTCAAAAGCAGCAGAATTCCAGATAATAATCAATCAGGGCCATCTAACACTTCCAAACAAAGGATTCCCCCAAGCAGGAAGCAGCCAGGCTTTGAAGCTGCAAGGCCATAAAATGCAAATCAAGGACTGCAACTTTCACACTTACCCCAAGCAGACTAGAGTTCTTTCTCCCACCCTGGACATCATTCCACAGGTATATAAATCCCACTTGTCTAGTTTCCAAGTGAAGAGAATGGGATTTTATAAGTGTGAACTTTTATAAGAACGAAACTTTGAGAAAGTTAAAAGGGAAAGTGGGTTGCGGTGTGTTTTCTGGGCTGTCGGGCCATGTTCCGGCAGCATTCTCTCCTGACTTTTTGTCCACATGTATGGCAGTCATCTGCAGAGATTATGAGGTCTATTCGAAACAAGGCAAGTGGGCTTTATATACCTGTGGAATAATGTCCAGTGTGGGAGAAAGAACTCTTGTCTGTTTGAGGCAAGTGTGAATGTTGCAATTGGCACCTTGATTAACATTTAATGGCCATGCAGCTTCAAAGAATGGCTGGTTGCTGCCTGGGAGAATCCTTTGTTAGGAAGTGTTAGTTGGTCCTAACTGATTCTTGTCTGGTATTCCTCTGCTTTTTGAATTTTTTTTTCCCTCCACAGGTATATAAACCCCATTTTCCTAGTTTCCAACAGACCCATCAACCTCTGAGGATGCTTGCCATTGTTGCGGTTTGTTGTTAATGTTTTGATTTTATTGTTGTATTATGTTTTGATTTTATTGCTGGACTAGCTGTCCCTTGCCACGCGTTGCTGTGGCCCACATGAGGGTTCTGTGTGGGAGGTTTGGCCCAATTCTTGCGTTGGTGGGGTTCAGAATGCTCTGTGATTGTAGGTGAACTACAAATCCCAGCAACTACAATTCCCAAATGTCAAGATTCTATTTTCCCCAAACTCCACCACTGTTCACATTTGGGCATATTGAGTATTCTTGTAGAGTTTGGTCCAGATCCATCGTTGTTTTGAGTCCACAGTGATCGCTGTATGTAGGTGAACTACAACTCCAAAACCAAAGGACACTGCCCACCAAAAAAAACCTTCCAGTATTTTCTGTTGGTCATGGGAGAACTGTGTGCCAGGTTTGGTTCAATTCCATTGTTGGTGGGGTTCAGAATGCTCTTTGATTGTAGGTGAACTATAAATCCCAGCACCTACAACTCCCAAATGACAAAATCAAAATTTTTGAGTGAAGGACATACATTGGGTTGTTAGGTGTCTTGTGTACAAATTTGGTGTCCATTCGTCGAGTGGTTTTTGAGTTCTGTGAATACCACAAACGGACAGACCCATCAACCTCTGAGGATGCTTGCCATTGTTGCTATTTGTTGTTAATGTTTTGATTTTATTGTTGTATTATGTTTTGATTTTATTGTTGTATTATGTTGTCCCCTGCCACGCCTTGCTGTGGCCCACATGTGGGTTCTGTGTGGGAGGTTTGGTCCAATTCTATCGTTGGTGGGGTTCAGAATGCTCTGTGATTGTAGGTGAACTACAAATCCCAGCAACTACAACTCCCAAATGTCAAGATTCTATTTTCCCCAAACTCCACCACTGTTCACATTTGGGCATATTGAGTATTCTTGTAGAGTTTGGTCCAGATCCATCAACGTTTTGAGTCCACACTGAGCTCTGTATGTATTTTGATTTATATAGATGTGGGCGAAACGTCAGGAGAAAATGCTTCTGGAACATGGCCAGACAGCCTGGAAAACTCACAGCAACCCAATGTCAGGCTGTTTCCCAAATAATCCCAGACTGCAGAGAGGAGTACAAAAATAAAACAATACCTATTTACAACGAAACATCCCCCTTCGTGTTTTGGCAAGAGCCGACAACAAAGACGACAGAAGTCTTGGGAAATTGTTTTCTTTCTCCATTCACTAGTTCACATTTTCTCAAAAGTGCAAGTCAGTTTGCTTTGAGACCTGGAGGGCCTTTCTCCCGCCGGGGAGCTCCTTCCGGCACTGATGCTGCAGTCCTCCCTCTCCAAGGGAAATAATTTAGGGAAAGAGAACACACACAAATGCACCCATCCCTTCCAAGGTAGGCAGGAAGAGCCTTAACGGAGGAGGAGGAAAAGGAGGAAGCTGCAGAGATGCCTTCTGCCTTATCAGCAGTCCTTTCCCTCAAGGCAAGTCTTCTGTTGACTAGCCAACAAGGATAGTCTCCTGTATAATCCCAGGAGAGAGTTCGGAATAGTTTTATGAAACCCGACCCACCCTTGATATCTCTGCAGACCACCCATCCAGCCATCCAACGATTTTTTTTTTCGTGTCAGGAGCAACTTGAGAAACTGCTAGTTCTCATCCAACAATGGGAACCCTTCACAACCGTGGTTGTTGTCTCTCTTTCTGACAGCCCCAGGCCGCTCTGAACAAAAAGGAAGGTGAGCAGAAAGAAACCTGAAGTAGATGCCAGTCTCGTTCGTTCACTGGCTCTCTTTTTTCCAGGCTCTAGCCACCGCCGGCCTTTTTCCTGCCTTGCTTCAATCGCCGGGGCTTCAGGATGGTGTAGTTCACGAAGGTGGTGTGCTGGTCGGAGAGAAAGGGGACGTAGAAGGCCCGGAACAGCTTCGAAGACCTGCGAGAGTGAAAAAGGGTTCACAAAAAGTAAGAATGCAAGCATAGGTTCAGCAGAAATGACTTCACAGAGACACTCACTGGAACACCTCTGCAAGCAAGAGTCCAAAAGTGGCAGGCTCAAACCCAGCACCTCAATCCGTGGATGATACCAGATGAGAGACTCCCCTCTGGGCACAGACTGGGCGACTGGGAAGGCGCTGAACAGACTGCGCTCTGGCACCACGAGATGCAGAGCCAATCTTAAGAAATGGGGCTACAAAGTGGAATCCACGACATGCGAGTGTGGAGAAGAGCAAACCACAGACCACCTGCTGCAATGCACCCTGAGCCCTGCCACATGCACAAGGGAGGACCTTCTCATAGTAACACCAGAGGCACTCCAAGTGGCCAGATACTGGTCAAAAGACATGTAATCAACTACCAAGTTTGCAAAATTTGTGTTTTTTTATCTGTTTGTTTGTTTTGTTCTGTTAGAAATGTAATACAATGTTCTGGTTGCTGATGACATGATAAATAAATAAATACATAGAATGCAGTTTGAGATGTGCATCTCCAAGCAGGAGCAGAGAGGAGAAGAAATGCCTGTTGGGCGAGTGGGCTTATTAACGAAAGACCCTCCCCATAAATGTACGCCAGAAGGACTTAGCAGTGTGACCCAGCACCAGTAGCTCAAAGTGATCAAAAGAAGAAAAACCCGCAGATCAATGTGATCTCTTCCATAGGAGGTTTTCCTTTATAGTAAGATAATATGGTTGCACTATTTACAATAATATAGTTGCACTATTTACAAGGTTTCCATAACACAAATAAACAAATGCGTAGTAGCTCTACACGCAGCAGCCTCCACACTGGAGCTCTCTCACACAAAGCTTCTCTCACACAGAGGTTTACCTCACACTCCTCAGGTTGACACAACCTTTGGCCCACTGACTCTAACAGGCTTCAACCTACTCACTCTCCTCAGGACAACACTAGCTTTGGCCAATGACTCTTAACAGGCTTCGGTCTAATCACTCTTCTCACGACGACACTAGCTTTGGCCCACTGACTCTAACAAGCTTCGGCCTACTCACTCTCCTCACGACAACACTAGCTTTGGCCAATGACTCTAACAGGCTTCAGCCTACTCACTCTCCTCGGGACGACACTAGCTTTGGCCAATGACTCTAACAGGCTTCAGCCTACTCATTCTCCTCAGGACGACACTAGTTTTGGCCAATGACTCTAACAGGCTTCAACCTACTCACTCTCCTCAGGTGACAGTAGCTTTGGCTCACTGACTCTAACAGGCTTTGGCCTGCTCACTCTTCTCGGGACGACACCAGCTTTGGTCCACTGACTCTAACAGGCTTCAGCCTACTCACTCTCCTCAGGACGACACAACCTTTGGCACACTGACTCTAACAAGCTTCGGCCTACTCACTCTCCTAAGAACACAAGCTTTGGCTCACTGACTCTAGCAGGCTTGGCCTACTCACTCTCCTAAGGACGACATTAGCTTTGGCCCACTGATTGTAGCAGGCTTCGGCCTGCTCACTCTCCTCGGGATAACACCAGCTTTAGTGCACTGACTCTAACAAGCTTCAGCTTACTCACTCTCCCCAGGACGACACTACTTTTGACCCACTGACTCTAACAAGCTTCAGCCTACTCACTCTCCCCAGGATGACACTAGCTTTGGCCCAATGACTCTTAACATGCTTCAATCTACTCATTCTTTCAGTGCTTGACTCCCTTTTTGTAATCAAAAATACCTAGTTAATTTTTAATATTTCTGATGGCCTTCCTTCGGTGCTTCTACCATTAGATAGCTCTGGTATCAAGCAGTCCTTCCATCTCTTTAGTAGGACGTCTTTTGCGCCGTCTCTTATTTCAAACGCAGTTGGCAACTAACAAGAGATGTGTATCTCTTAGAAAGAGTATATAGAAGGAGAAATCAAGTATCATTAAAGAAAACACTCATAAATCTTGTCCTGCAAGAGCCTGCCTTCCCCTAGTGCCTCTACTACTGGATAGCTTTAGTATACTCAGGAACTAATGCTTTGCCTCTTTAGTATGGAGTTGTGCGTCTCTTATTTTCTCAAGTAAAAAATACAAAACGTGTGATACATCTGAAATGGAAAGAGGGGCCCCTTCCTCACCACTGTTATTCCTATCCATCCCATCAGGGAGTCCGTTCCTTCCTCCCCTCCTAAACCCGACGGCCTCCGCCGATGCGGAATCCAATGGGCCCAGACAAAGGCGCCGCCTGAGTGGCGTAATTAGCGGATGGCTCTGAGTGCTCTCTAATTCAATTAACAGCACCGCTTATCAGAGCCGAGGGAGAGTTGCTGCGGTGTTCGCTGACGTCAATGGGAGGAATGCGCTGCATCCCAGAAGCCTCTGGTTTCGCCAGCTCAAATGCATCCAGCAAGGTCAGAGCGTGTTTGAGCCCTTGCTTTCACTCTAGAGCAGGCATGTGCAAACTCTGGCCCTCCAGATGTTTTGGACTTCAACTACTACCATTCCTGACAGCCTCGGGCCCCTTTCTTTTTCCCCTCTTCCACTTAAGCGGCTGAGGGGGGAAAGGAAAGGGACTGAGGCTGTTGAGGGGGGAAAGAAAAGGGACTGAAGCTGTCGAGGGGGAAAAGGAAAGGGACTGAGGCTGTCGAGGGGGGAAAGGAAAGGGCCTGAGCCTGCCGAGGGGGGAAAGGAAAGAGCCTGAGGCTGTCGAGGGGGGAAAGGAAAGGTACTGAGGCTGTCGAGGGAGAAAAGGAAAGGGACTGAGGCTACCGAGGGGGAAAACGAAAGGGACTGAGGGTTCCGAGGGGGAAAAGGAAAGGGACTGAGGCTGTCGAGGGGGAAAAGGAAAGGGACTGAGGCTGTCGAAGGGGGAAAGGAAAGGGACTGAGGCTGCCGAGGGGGGAAAGGAAAGGTACTGAGACTGTTGAAGGGGAAAAGGAAAGGTACTGAGGCTGTCGAGGGGGAAAAGGAAAGGTACTGAGGCTGTCGAGGAGGAAAAGGAAAGGGACCGAGGCTGTCGAGGGGGAAAAGGAAAGAGCCTGAGGCTGTTGAGGGAGAAAAGGAAAGGGACTGAGTCTGCCGAAGGGGGAAAGAAAAGGGACTGAGGCTTTTTAGGAATGGTGGGAGTTGAAGTCCAAAACACCTGGAGGACCCAAGTTTGTCCAAGCAGTAACACAAGTAATTTAGAGCACATAATTTTATGTCTCTTTGTTGTGCACGGTCGGTATGGAAATGAACGAAGCACATCAGAGGCTGCCGGCAGCTTTAGGAATCGCACTGGACCTTAGGACACACTAAGGGCAAAGGGAGAGACAGCTGCATTGGGGTTGAGTTCAGCTTGGATGGGAGAAAAAGAGCTGCTGCCCAATGCCTTCCTCTGTCAGATCCCAGTATCTGAAAATAATCAATTTGGAGGCTCTTTCCCCACATTCCCGTCTCATTGCTCTAATTGGAGTCCCTGTGCTTGGGGCAAAAGCCGCAGCTGCCATAGAAGCCAATATAATTCAGTTTTCCCTGTGACTCCTGCCTTCTGCTTCTCCCTCCACATATTCCAATCCATTCTCTTTGCTATGAACCTCCCCATAGCCATAGATCTCTACCAAAAGATTGTGTTTATGCATGTGTGCTCCAGCTTGGGTCTAGTTGTAGCAGTATTTCAGCATGTGTGAAGGCCCAGAACCTTTGTTCTGAGGGCTTCGGAAATTCCTCTGAAAACACAGAGAGTGAGCTCCAAACTTTGGGCACCCTTAAGTATGGAGAGCTTTCCATTTTGGTTCACTGCATCCTTATCATCAGGAGGATATGATGAGCCTGCGATCCAAATAACATGGAACAGAATCATCACCCTGCTTGCCCAGAATGAATTTTGCAAAAGCTGCATAGAAATAATGGGACTTTTCAAAGCCTTGTGATGGTGGGACCATGGATACAGCGGCCTTTGCTGCATCTGAGATGACCATCCTGGTTGACTTAGGAACACATATGTTTCCCTCTCTTTCCCTCCTGCCATCACCCTCTTTGGGGAAATTCTCGCAGCGCCGCTTCCCATCCGCCCACACGCTCAGCAATTACATATACATTTTGGAAAAAAAAGGTAACAATTCTCAATTGCTGCTCTCTCTCTCTCTCTCTCTCTTCCTTTTTAAAAGCATTTTTCAATACTTTGTGGGGGAGTGCTTCTGGGGAAGCCAAGCGGCAGTAAACAGCTCTTTTGATGAGCCAGACACCGTTGGGAAGTGGATCACAGGGAGCGCTAATGAATACCCCAGACACAAAAATCTGGGATACAGGTGGAGGGGAATTGGGGACACAAGGCAAAGGGAAGGCAGACCGAGACCCAAAGGGATTTGAGGATCTTCTGGGCATCAGGAATCTGTCTCCTCGTGTGCATGTCTCACACTTTTGGGAAAAAGAGTAACAGAGCAAGAATGGAGTTGCTACTGGTTCTCCACAGCTTTTTCACCTAAGCCAGAAGACATGTGTAAGCATGGCTCCTCCAGGTGTTTTGGACTTCAATCCCCACCATTCCTAACAGCCTCAGGCCCTTCCTTTTTGCCCCCAGCCGCTTAAGTGGCTGAGGAGGATAAGGAAAGGGACTGAGGCTGCCGAGGGGGGAAAGGAAAGGGACTGAGGCTGCCAAGGGGAATAAGGAAAGGGACTGAGGCTGCCAAGGGGAATAAGGAAAGGGACTGAGGTTGCCGAGGAAGAAAAGGAAAGGGACTGAGGCTGCTGAGGGAAAAAAGGAAAGGGATTGAGGCTGCCGAGGGGAATACGGAAAGGGACTGAGGCTGCCGAGGGGAATACGGAAAGGGACTGAGGCTGCCAAGGAGAATACAGAAGGGGACTTTCTATGCTGACGATCGTGCCATCACCGCTCAAGCAGGGAGCTTTGAAATGGTTGAACAGAAGCTCTCAGAAGCTTTAGGTGCTCCTACTGCCTATTACAGGGGAAACCAGCTGATTCCTAATCCATCTAAAACACAGAAATGTGCTTTTCATCTTAAGAAGAGACATCTTAATTTTCGAGCTCTGAGAATTACCTGGGAAGGAATCGCACTGGAGCATTGCAGCACACCCAAATACTTGGAAGTTACTCTGGACTGTGCTCTGACTTACAAGAAGCACTGCCTGAATATCAAGCAAAAGGTGGGTGCTAGAAATAATATCATACGAAACCTGACTGCCACAATCTGGGGCTCACAACCAGACACAGTGAAGGCATCTGCCCTTGCGCTTGGTTACTCTGCTGCTAAATACACATGCTTAGTATGGAATACATCTCATCACATCAAAACAGTGGATGTGGCTCTTAATCAGACATGCCACATTATCACATGATGTCTATGCCCCACCACCTGACATCCACCGTGCTCTCTGGATGTAAGGGAACTACAACTGCAAAACTCAAGGCCAATGCCCACCAAACCTTTCCAGTATTTTTTTGTTGGTCATGGGAGTTCTGTGTGCCAAGTGGGGTTCGATTCCATCATTGGTGGAGTTCATAATGTTCTTTGATTGTAGGTGAACTATAAATCCCAGCAACTACAACTCCCAAATGACAAAATCAATCCCACCCCACCCCACTAGTATTTAAATTTGGGCATATCAGGTATTTGTGCCAAATTCGGTCCAGTGAATGAAAATACATTTTGCATATCAGATATTTACATGACGATTCATAACAGTAGCAAGATTACAGTTATGAAGTAGCAACGCAAATAATGTTATGGTTGGAGGTCACCACAACATAAGGAACTGCATTAAGGGGTCACGGCATTAGGAAGGTTGAGAAACACTGCCTTAAATCAAGAAACAGCTTTCTAAGATCTACAGAGATACTCGCAGGAACACTTGAGCAAGCAAGAGTCCAAAAGTGGCAGGCTAAAACCCAGCACCTCAATCAGTGGCTGAGACAGGATGAGAAACTCCGCTCCGGGCTCACAGAAGACTGGGTGACTTGTAAGGCACTGAACAGGCTCCACTCTGGCACCATGAGATGCAAAGACAAACTTAAGAAATGGGGCTACAAAGTGGAGTCTATGACATGCAAGTGTGGAGAAGAACAAGCCATGGACCACATACTACAATGCAACCTGAGCCCTGCCACATGCACAACGGAGGACCTTCTCACAGCGACACCAAGAGGCCAGCTTCTAGTCAAAGGACATTTAGTATAATGCCAAGTTCCTTTAAAAAACCCTTTATGTTTTCAAATGCATTTTAACTGTACTCTCAACTTGCTTCTGACACAGTAAATAAATACCTTGAACTGTCCAGGAAGGGCTTGTAGGCGATCGTCATCCACTCCTCTTTGTTAGCCGCGTACCTCGGCTCCCGGGGCGCTTCGGTCAGAGTGTCTAAATCCACCAGGTAATGGCATTTGGAAATGTCAAACTGCAAGGAAAGAGGTTGTTTGGAGACAGGTTGCCTCTCCTTTTGGAGAAGATGGGTACACTATCCAGGTTGCCTCTTTCCAGATACAAAACCGCCCTCACAAATTGTGCTGTTGTGTGCCTTCAAGAGGTTTCCAACTCATGGTGACCCTGGGAAAGCTTATTGAAGAGTTTTCTTGGCAAGATGTGCTCAGAAAGGTTGGTCACTATTGCCTTCTTTTGAGGCTGGGAGAGGGAGACTTCCCCAGGGTCGCTTAATGGGTTTCTATGGCCAACACCGATCCTAGTCCAAACGATTACACCTTATGATAGCTCTCTTCAGTTGCAGCTGGACGCAGGATATTATTTGAGCACACAGCAATGCTGGGCCACTCTAACAACTACCATGTCAGACTGCACAGAGAAACCATTGAAATCCACATGTGGACAATGTCAACAGAAAGGAGGAAGCCATGAAAACAAACAAAATCTGGCTACCAATATTAAAAAACAAAACAAAATCAGGACAGCAAATAAAGAACAACACTGAAAGAACAGGGAAATTCCAGACATGAAACAATCAGGGACAGCTAATACTTCCTAACGAAGGATTACCCCAGGCAAGAAGCAGCTAGGCTTTGAAGCTGCAAGGCTATTCAATTGTAATCAAGGTTGTCAATTGCAACATTCACACCTCCCTCAAACAGACCAAAGTTCTTTCTCCTACCCTGGCCATCATTCCACAAGTATATAAACCCCACTTGCCTTGTTTCCAAGAGACCTCACAACCTCAATCTTACCTAGCTCTACAATCCTGACATTTTAATGCCCATGAACATTATCCGCCCAGCCCTGCCTTTCTGAAATTTGCACTTTCCCTTAGCTCTATCTAGGAATTTGCACAAACCCAGAGTCCTCTGAACTCAACACTCTTATCATTCTGTATGGTACTGTTTTTATGATGTTATGTTTCCTTGTGGTATGTTTTATTTGGTTTTGTTCCAATGCTATCTTATTGTGTTATGTTTTTAACTTTGTGTTCTTTGGGCTAGTCCCTTTGTAAGCCGCCCCAAGTCTCTTAGGGGAGATGGGCTATAAAAATAAAGAAATTATTATTATTATTATTATTATTATTATTATTATTATTATTATCGAAGGCTTTCATGGCTGGAATCACTGGGTTGTTGTAGGTTTTTTCGGGCTATATGGCCATGTTCGAAAGGCATTCTCTCCTGATGTTTCGCTTGCATCTATGGCAAGCATCCTCAGAGGTAGTGAGGTGCCTCTGAGGATGCTTGCCATAGATGCAGGCGAAACGTCAGGAGAGAATGACTTTCGAACATGGCCATATAGCCCGAAAAAACCTACAACAACCCATTATTATTATTATTATTATTATTATTATTATTATTATTATAAATTTATTTATTTATTTATTTACAACATTTATATGCCGCCCTTCTCACCCTGAAAGGGACTCAGAGAAGCTTATAAGTAAAAAGTAAATACAATATATTATACTATTATCATAGCACAATATTAATATTATATATTACATTGTACTATAACATTATACTGTAATATTAGTAATATTACATTTAATATAAAATATATAATTATAAAATCATTTTATTATTATTAGTAATATATTGCATTACATTATAATATTATCAATATTATATTGTATTGTATTGTATTGTATTGTATTGTATTGTATTGTATTGTATTGTATTGTATTGTATTATAAGCAAAGTGCAGGAGACAACATGGAACTGCCTTCCGGGCCCCTCTCTTCACTCTGATCTCAGAGCAGCGGTTGGTGCTGGGGAGGGGGGGCTTCCAACTGATGACACCGGAGGCAAGATGGAACTGCCTTCCTGGCCCCTTTGTTAAAACACAACAAGATGAGTCCACAGCAGACAAGATCACTCTGCTGGGTGTTGTATTGGATCACACTTCGGACACTTCCCAAGTGTCTAGGACTGCGTGATGTATTGGCGAATAATGCGTGCAAATCCCAGTAAAGTGGCCTTTTGCAGCTGGTAATCTTGTCAGCACCGATTGTGTTTAAGTGCAGGCCAAGGTCTTTAGGCACTGCACCCAATGTGCCGATCACTACTGGGACAACCTTGACTGGCTTGTGCCAGAGTCTTATTATTATTTATTATGCCATAGATGTGGGTGAAACATCAGGAGAGAATGCTTCTGAAACATGGCCAGGCAGCCCAGAAAACTCACAGCAACCCTTATTACTAAATGTTTCTCTGTTCTTCCTCTTTTGCATCCTGTAAAGGAGCGTAAAATTACTGCCACCAATTTGTGAGGAAAGCCAGGCAATGATCAATATCAGCTTAGGAGCTGGTTTATAAAGGGACTATTATTTACAGAAGTATTTATTTATTTGATAGCGTAGCGTTTAATGTCCCTTGTTTGGTTTTATGCAGGGCTGTTTGACTTAGGAGAAACTGTATCAGGCAAGGCTTGAGGAAAACAGTAACAAATTTATTTAACAGGAGTATAACAGATTCAATTGTTACTTCTCTAGAGGCACAAACTTAGTTAGTTACATTGATAAGGTTTCCTGAATAACTTTGGGTACTAAACAGACTTCAAAAGGTTTCTTTGAGTACATATATCTTTCTTCAACAAGCGTTCTTTTACTACAAATAAGCCACCTGACTTATCTAACTATATTGGCTCACAGCCAAACCCTGATTCTTAATATTAAAGAACCAGTCTTCCCTATAGTTCTCTAACTATAGGATTCCTGCTGGTCTTCCACCCACCACAGGATCAACTACCTCTCCTGTAACTCTTTGGTCACAGACTAGTTCCCTGAATCTTCCACCAGAGATTTCAGTCTTCTCTGTAACTCTAATGGTCACAGACCCTTCCCTGTTTCTCCCACTAGAGAAATCAGTCCTTTCTGTAACTCTAACGGTCACAGACTAGTTCCCTGAATCTCCCACTAGAGATTTCAGTCTTCTCTGCAACTCTAACGGTCACAGACGCTCTATTTCAAACAGATGTGCAGTTAGGTGACAGTTGGCTCCACCCCCCGTTGCTATGGCAACTCAGCTCAAGCCAAACCAGCCACCACCTCTAACAAAATATCATCCTACATACTTACCATTTATTAACTACTGTTTAAACAACACATAACTATAGGAACAAAATTACACATCGTCACACATCCCATAACTTGGTGGCTGAAATAACATTTTCTAGAAACATTAAGAGCCAATGCATCTAGTTTTTAGAGCAGGAAGAACTTTATATTAGCCAAAAAAGTCTGTATTCCCCCCTAGATATGGCTCAAAATCCGGGTAAGCAATGCAGAGGGATGTGAGCCATTTCCTCCCAGATTCTCAGAGGTGGAAGTGATGTATTATTATATCTGCCTACCATTTTTGGGCCAATTTTCAGCCTTTTGGGAAGAAGGGGTGGCAATTATGTTGGGTTAAATCCCTCCCAAGCCGGGTGTTTACAAGTCTGGGAGGATCTGGAAGCCACACTCCCAAGGGTTCGACATCCCTCTTCTCTAAAGACAATCGCCGTTCATGAAAGACGAAATGACCATAGACGGCATGAGGAGGTGCAAGGGGCAATGTGCATTCCAAAAAGGGCAGGCCACTTACGTATCTGGAAGGTTCCTCCCGGTTTTGGTCATTCATCTCTGTCGGAATGATGCGTGTGGCCATGGGTCCCTTGGCAAATGGTTTGGGCAACTGGCCCCTGAATTCTGACGGAATGAACTGAAGCTGCCAACTGGAGGAGGAAAAGGAAACGATAGTGAAAGCTCAGTCTCCTCCCACGGCTTCTTAAACCAGCCCCAAATGAGGTCCCCCTCACTCAATGTTGGGGCCTCAACACATTTGGCAACAGAGGTTTTCTATCGCCACCTAGCGACTGTTTTAGACACTTACACAAATCTGTAGTGCAGTGTGGGAGTTCTGTGTGGCCAAGTTTGGTTCAATTCCATCCTTGGTGGCGTTCAGAATGCTCTTTGATTGTAGATGGACTATTGTAGTTCACCTACATCCAGAGAGCAGGAGGAGGACTTTTGGTGGGAGGCATCTGTTTCCCAAAAGGAAGAGAAGGACAGGTGGAGAGATCTTCAGCCTTCTCTGCCAAAGGGGTTCCTAAGACCATCAGAAATATACTGGAAGGGTTTGGTGGGCAGTGTCCTTTGGTTTTGGAGTTGTAGTTCACCTACATCCAGAGAGCACTGTGGACTCAAACAATGATGGATCTGGACCAAACTCTACATGAATACTCAATATGCCCAAATGTGAACACTGGTGGAGTTTGGGGGAAATAGAATCTTGACATTTGGGAGTTGTAGTTGCTGGGATTTATAGTTCAACTACAATCACAGAGCATTCTGAACTGCACCAACGATAGAATTGGGCCAAACCTCCCACACAGAACCCTATGTGGGCCACAGCAACGCGTGGCAGAGGACGGCTAGTATATATATATATATATATATATATATATATATATATACACACACACCTTGTAAAAAAGGTAAAGCCTTGCAAATGCTTGAGATGTATACCTATTTCATATACCTGGGGTCACGTAACTATTTCTGAGGCCAAAAGGAGTCCCGAGTGGAAAAGAAGCCCTGCCTTAGAGGATAGTATAACACAAGAGAACAGGAATGCCGTTGCCATGAGAGGTCTGGGAGGGAGAAAGAGGGCAACATTCCTGGAGAAGAAAAGCCCTTTGTTTGGAAACAAACTGAGCATGGCTGGCCCTGGGAAAAATCACCTTTCCCCGTAAGCCCCGGAGAGTTTGCAGGTCAAGTGCTGTTCCTTCGACGGGCACTCACTTTGCGCCCTTTGGCGACTCCAGGAATGCAGGCGCTGAGCTAGAATTCGACTTCTAAATATCTGCTCCCTTGCAACAGACAGAGCTGGGATTCAGCGCCTTGCGCCCCCTCTCTCTTTTCAAGACGCTCTGTCTGGTGCTTTGCGATCTTAAGAGCCCTGAGGTTATTAAAGCTGCGAATGTACAGCAACGTCTCTGCAGAGAGAACCGTGAGAAGCTGCAAAGAAGGTGCTGAAGAGAGCAAGGTGACAGGAGCGCCGCGCTGCCTTTTGGGACTTTAGAGCCAGAGCAGACACATCTTAGGCACAAATAGGCCCCACCACAATAATTATAATAATAACATAATAATAATAAACTTTATTTATACCCCGCTACCATCTCCCCAAGGGACTCGGTGCGGCTTACATGAGGCCAAGCCTATAATACAACAATACAAGCAATAACAACAGACAATACAAGCAATTAAAATCAATAAACAAAAACAGTAAAACCATAACATAAGCATTAACAGTAGGACAACACACTTTAAAATCTATGGGTAGGCCGAATGTAATTAAAAATTTAAAAAATAATGCTGGACATGGGCGAAAAAGTGATGGGGCGTTTGTGGAAACATACAAGCAGACCTAAAACAATATAAAGTGCTTTGGAGGACAAAGTGCTATGGGATCATTATTCTGGGAAGGCACACTGGAACAACCACGTCTTCAAGCTCCTCCTAAAGACTGCCAGAGTTGGGGCAAGCCTGATGTCCTTAGGAAGTGAGTTCCAGAGTCGAGGGGTTACCACCGAAAAGGCCCTCTCTCGTCCCCACCAATCGTGCTTGCGAAGCAGGTGGGAGCGTGAGCAGGGCCTCTCCAGATGATCGAAGAGATCGCGTGGGTTCGTATACCGAGATGCGGTCACAAACCTTTACAACCCAGAGAAGTCGGATGTGGGGAATTGGAATTAACGGATTTACATCCCCCCAGAACCTCACAGGAGAACGCCTGCCAGCCTCTTGATGTTGGAACTCAACCCCATCCTACACAAGTTTACAGTCCTCATCAAGGAACTAGAGAGGCAGGGGAAACCCTTCCATCGTTGCCCTCTTTGTCTGCCCGTCTCTCTCTCTTCCCCCCTCCGATCCTCTGCTTGTTAGGGGGATACTTCATTGAGACACCCCTCTTTCTATAGAAAGTATCTGAGGACATGGCAATCCCTTCAACCCTCCATGTTGTCCTTCTCCGGTGAACATGGAGAGAAACAAGATATCTCTCTAGAGCGGGTAGGGAACCTTTGGCCCTCCAGCTGTGGTGGACTTCACCTCCCACAATTCCTTGAGGCTCGGCATTGGGCCAAGGTAAGCCTTTGGGGCGAATGCCGAGCCTCAAGGAATTGTGGGAGTTGAAGTCCACCACAGCTGGAGGGCCAAAGGTTCCCTACCCCTGCTCTAGAGCTAGGTATTTAGTGAAGAGAATGAGATTTTATAAGTGTGAACTTTATAAAAACTAAGCTTTTCAAAAGAAAGCGGGTTGCGGTGAGTTTTATGGGCTGTCTGGCCATGTTCCGGCAGCATTCTCTCCTCACATTTTGCCCACATGTATGGCAGGCATCATCAGAGGCTGTGAGGTCTATTCGAAACAAGGCAACTGGGCTTTATATACCTGTGGAATAATGTCCAGGGTGGGAGAAAGAACTCTTGTCTGTATATATTTCAGATTTCAATATTAATGTCAAAAATACGTAGTATGATTTTACATAGGATTTGTGCTACATTAGAACAGTCAAGACAAATATCACTTAAGTAAAATAAACATTAAATATTAAATAACCAGAAAAATAAAATAAGGTGTAAACACTAAACTAATCTGGGAATTTGCTACTTTGATTAGCGTTTAATGGCCTTGCAGCTTCAAAAACTGGCTGGTTGCTGCCTGGGGGAATCCTTTGTTTGGAAGTGTTAGCTGGCCCTAATTGATTCTTGTCTGGAATTCCCCTGCTTTTTCAGTGTTTTCCCCCCCACAGATAAATAAACCTCACCTGCCTAGTTTCCAACCGACCTCTTAACCTCTGGGGATGCCCGCCATAGATATGGGCGAAACGTCAGGAGAGAATGCTTCTGGAACATGGCCATACAGCCCAGAAAATTCACAGCAAGCCAGTCATTCCGGCCATGAAAGCCTTCGAGGAGTCATTAAAAAGGAAAGATTGAGACAGAAGGGAGGAAGGATTGGATGACTTGAAAAAGAAAGGTGAAACTCTTTGCTGGCCAAAACAAAGCACAACAGGAGCCATAGATAGGCCACTAAGGGAGATGAAAGCAGGCAAAAGGTTCACTTTATGATGTGACGAGAGAAAGATAGAGCCTCGAACAGAAAGCCAAGAGCTCAGCAGGAAGGGGGAAAAGAGAGAGGGGGAATGCAAGCAGGCACAAGCTGCTGATAAGAGAGAACAAAGGACCGAACTCTGCGCATGCTCAAATAGTTCTGACTATAAAACCAAACTACTCAGCTCAGCTGTGTGGCACATTTTTTCAGTCCTTGCTCTACATACTAAATAGATTGATTTCATCTCCTCGTCTCTAGTGTCTGATTGGAATAGGGGTTTGGGGGCACCAAGCCTCAACATTGGCCCCTTTACTTCCCTATTCTAGAAAATGTAGTTCTTTGAATATAGTGCTTTTAAAGTGTAACTCTACTCTTGAATTGCTGAAGCTCGTTGGCTCTACTGCTGGCACAAGAAGCTTCTGATCTGCTAAACTGCTGCTGTTGCTGCAGATGTACATTTCTAAAATGCTTTTTTTTCCTTTTTGGAATAATCCGATGTAATGAATTCCTTACCTTGGCAAGCTTGCTTAGGCCTAAGAGAGTGGGCCTGGAGAAACCACGGCATCCATTTTGGAGAAGGGAGATGCCATCTTAGGTTAGGTTTACCTTAAGGGGGCGCGTTCTAGTCTTGGGGGGAAAGTTAGAAGGCTGTGATTGGTTAGGAATTATGGGGGTGGAGCTTAAGTAATCTGAAGGAAAAAAGTGACTTTTAAACTGAGGCTTGAGTTTCCCAGTTTGCCAGTTGAGAGTTGGAGCTTGGAAAGGGTGTTAGTGAGAGCAGTTTGGGGTTTTGAAGAAGGACTTTGGATCAGTCTTTTGTTTAGTATTCAGGATAGCTATAGGAAATATAGCTAGAATACTGTGGGGAGCAGCACCCCGTCAGTAGTCTGTTCTTTTCCTTAAGGAAGGCTAGTTCAGGTTTTGGCTAAATTCCTAAGGGGGATTTTTGTGGGAGTTACTTTCAGAGATTCATTTCCTGAAGTAATTTTCTGTGTGGAAACTTTAAGACTTGTAACCCAGAAGTTTTTAAGATCTCTTCTCAAACGTAACCACAAGCTTTTGTATGCCAGATTTTTACTGAAATCATCAAGCATTTGTACCTGAAATATCCAAATCTGTTCAATAAAAGTTCTTGTTATTTTTACCAACTTATACCAGCCTCAGTGTGAATACTTTTGTGGTAAAAGTGTTATTCAATTCAGCTTTTTACCAACCTCTAAGAAAACTAGAGTAACATAGAGTGTGTTACTGAACAACCTCTCAATAGTACCTCAGCCTGTTCTTTAGTAATATGGTGGCAGCGGAAACCTTTTAAAGAATTCTTTTAAGTCTCACAATTCCAGTGGTTCCCAGTTCCTTGCTTGTAAATAAACAGTTGGATTCAACAACCATTACACCCTCTATACTTTGGTGAGCTACTCTGTAGTGGTGTCATTGTTATAATTTGGTAGGCTACTATACAGATCATTAAAATTTGAAGGAGCAGCAGTGTGATCTTTATAATTTGGTGGTACAGCAGTGTGATTCATTATAATTTGGTTGAGCACCGTTGGGATTATTTTTCTAAATTTCCCCGTCTGATAAATCAATTTAAAAATCTTACTAATACTACACTCGGCTTTTGATTCGTTATACCCGACAACACTTGATCAGGAAAAGGAAACTTACTTATGGGGCAAAAGGAAGCTGCTGGGAAAGCGATACCACTCCTTCCCGACACAGACATGGACCGGTCTCCCTTCTGGCACCGTGTGGACCGTGGGATCCGTGGCGATTCTGTGGAAGGCTGGGTACAGGTCCAGGGGCCCATGGTAGCCTGTGAGGAAGAAACAAGAGCAGGGCCTTGGTTGCTGTTCGGTTTTGGTATGCTGGAGGGAGAAGAAGGGAATGCCGACCCAAAGGACCCTAAACTGACCTCGGAATAAGGCCACAGAGCGCGACACGGAGAGCAGCCCGAAGGTGAAGACCGTCCCCAGAGCCAGCCAGTTGGAAGAGACGGTGTAGTGCTCCAGGCGGTAGCGCTGGAATACGAAGTGGTAGCATTTCTGAAAGGGGAGGGAGAAGCAAAATATCAGGACTCGAGACTCCTTCGAACAAGACACCTCTCTCCAGGGCAGGTATGGGCACACTTTGGCCCTCCAGGCATTTTGGACTTCAACTTACACAATTCTTTAATAATAATAATAATAATAATAATAATAATAATAATCCTTTATTTATACCCCGCCACCATCTCCCGCAGGACTCGGTGCGGCTTACAAGAGGCCGAGCCCAAATACAACAACAATAAAATACAACGACAACAATACAACAGTAAATAACTCATAAACAAAGCAAAACAATAACAATAATATCACGACGCATTTAAAAACCTGTGGCAGGGCCAAATGTAATGATTAAAATGTTAAAAATGCTGAGCATGTCAAAGTGAAATAGGATGGATATTTTAGGGATAGGTGGGCGTGCAGACAATCCTAAATCTCCCGTAAAGTGCATTTGGGACATATTGCTTGGGATTCCTTATTCTGGGAAGGTACACTGGAACATCCACGTTTTCAAGCTCCTTCTAAAGACTGCCAGCATTGGGGCAGGCCTGATGTCCTTGGGGAGGGAGCTCCAGAGTCGAGGGGCCACCACCGAGAAGGCCCTGTCCCTCGTTCCCACCAATCGTGCTTGCGATGCAGGTGGGATCGTGAGCAGGACCTCTCCAGATGATCGAAGAGATTGTGTGGGTTCATATACGGAAATGCGGTCACGCAGGTAGATGGGTCCCAAACCGTTTAGGGCTTTGTAGGTAAGCGCCTGCACCTTAAATTGGGACCGGAAAATGAACGGCAGCCAATGGAGTTCCTTAAACAGGAGGGTTGACCTCTCCCTGTAAGGAGCACCAGTTAACAACCTGGCCGCCACCCGTTGAACCAACTGAAATTTCCGGGCCGTTTTCAAGGGCAGCCCCACGTAGAGTGCATTACAGTAGTCCAGTAACCTGACATGGTGGTTGTGAGAGTAGTCCAGCCTTTCTGTGTTAGCAAATAATATGCAGAGCACCTGATGAACCATCCTGGACACAGCATATTATTTGATAACACAGAAATGCTGGATCACTCTCACAACCACCATGTCAGACTACACAGGGAAGCCACTGAAATCCACAAGGAAGTGGACAACTTCAACAGAAAAGGGGGAAACCATGAAAATGAAGAAAATTTGGTGACCAATATTTTTAAAAACCTCTAAAATCACAATAGTAAATAAAGAACAACACTCAGAAAACAGGTGAATTCCAGATAGGAAACAATCTGGGCCAGCTAACACCTCCCAACAAAAGACTCCCCCAGGCAGGAAGCAGCCAGGCTTTAAAGTTGCAAGGCTATTCAATGCTAATCAAACTGGGTCAATTGCAACATTCACACTTGCCTCAAACAGACAAGAGTTCTTTCCCACACCTTGGACATCATTTCACAGATATATAAACCCCACTTGCCTAGTTTCCAACAGACCTCACAACCTCTAAGGATGCCTGCCGTAGATGTGGGCAAAATGTCAGGAGAGAATGCTTCTGTAACATAGCCAGACAGCCCGGAAAAATCACAGCAACCCAGGGATTCCGGCCATGAAAGCCTTCAACAACACAATTCAACTTAGTTTGTGGCAGCCACAAAAATGAAGTTTCTGGAGGATAACTACTTTCAAAGTCAGGACTGCACAATTAAACAGGAAATAACACTTCCAAACCAGGAACAGAACATTTTTCAAATGTTGTTACATAGGTAAAAGGTAAAGGTTGTCCCCTGACATTAAGTCCAGTCATGTCTGACTCGGGTGTGGTGCTCATCTCCATTTCGAAGCCAAAGAGCTGGCGTTGCCCATAGACACCTCCAAGGTCATGTGGCCGGCATGACTGCATGAAGCATTGTTACATAGTGTTGTTATTATTATGCTTTCAAGAGAAAATGTGCCCACCCCAATGCTGCAATCCCATAACGATCTCTGCCCCCAAAGCACACCTGAAGGGCAGAGAGTCCCACAGCTCCACAGAGACAAATCAGGGGGTAGACGGGATACAGGAACCGCTCCTCCTTGTGGGGCTGGCTGAAGAAAATCAGCATCCAGAGGTACATCGGGGAAAGCGTCAGCCAATAGGGACGGCCCAGGTTCTGAACTGGAACAAACAAAAGGAGATTCATCTGAGGCGGGGTTAGAATCATAGAACAGTAGGAGTTGGAAGAGACCACAGTCAAGTCCATGCAGGAAAAGCACCATCAAAGCCCTCTTGACAGATGGCCATCCAGCCTGTTTCAAAGGCTCCAAGGGAGGAGCTTCCACCAGACTCCGAGGCCAAGAGTTCAGATGTGAGGGCCTAGCTACTTAACTTTCTAGCCCTCTGGTGACATCTTGTGTGTGTCTCTCTCTCCATGCTCACAGGAGAAGAAGAAAATAGAGGACTTGGGGAATTGCCGTGTGCTCATATGCTTTGAATAAAAAGAAAGTATCAGTCTAACAAGCAGGAGATAGGCAGAGAGGCTAGAGAGAGAGAGAGGCAGGCAAAGAGGGCCAGCTACCAGTCTATTTCCTTGATGAGGACTATAAACTTGTGCAGGATGCACAAGTTCCAGCCTGCCTCAGCATGATCTCCATAACTTCGTTACAGAGACAAGAACAGTTCCATCTTGTCTCCTGCATATGTCATCAGCTGGGGACCCCTCCTCCCAGCGCTAACTGCTGCTCTGGGCCAGAGTGTAGAAAGAGGGGAACAGAAGACAGGTCCACCGTGTTTCCTGTGCTATGCTAATAACATAATATAATCTAATATATTATATATAGATATAATATTTATAATATTATAATGTAAAAAATACAATACTATTACTAAAAAAGGTAAAGGTAAAGGTATTCCCCTGACATTAAGTCCAGTCATGTCTGACTCTGGGGTGTGGTGCACATCTCCATTTCTAAGCCGAAGAGCCAGCATTGTCAGTAGACACCTCCAAGGTCATGTGGCCGGCATGACTGCATGGAGCGCCATTACCTTCCCTTTTGATCTACTCACATTTGCATGTTTTCCAACTGCTAGGTTGGCAGAAGCTAGGGCTGACAGCGGAAGCTCACGCCGCTCCCTGGACTCCAACCTGCGACCTTTCGATCAACAAGCTCAGCAGCTCAATGCTTTAACCCACTGCGCCACCGGGGGCCCCTCTTATACTACTACTACTCCTAATAATAATAATAATAATAATAATAATAATAATAATAATATGATATTATAATTATATATTTTCTATTACATGTAATATTACTAGTAATATTACAATATAATGGTATAGTACAATATAGTAATATATAATACTAATATTGTACTATGCTAATATAATATAATACATTATATACACATATAATATTTATAATATAATGTAATACAATATAATACTCTCACTACTAATAATAATAATATGATATTATAATTATATATTTTATATTCCATGTAATATTATTAATAATATTACAATATAATGATATAGTGCAATATAGTAATGTATAATATTGATATTGTACTATGCTAATAATATAATATATTGGATATAGATATAATATTTATAATATTATAATGTAAAACAATATAATACTAATAATAATAATAATATGATATTATATATATTTATATTCCATGTAATATTACTAATAATATTACAATATAATGATATAGTACAATATAGTAATACATAATACTGATATTGTACTATGCTAATAATATAATATATTGAATGTGACTGGATTGACCTCGAAGGAGCTGAGGGTGGTGACAGCCAACAGGGAGCTCTGGCATGGGCTGGTCCATGAGGTCACAAAGAGTCGGAAACGACTGAACGAATGAACAACAACAACATGTGTGTGTGTGTGTGTGTATGTGTATGTGTGTGTGTGTGTGTGTGTGTGTGTGTGTATATATATATATATATATATATATATATATATATATATATATATTGAGTCCCCTTCGGGGTGAGAAGGGCAGCATATAAACGCCGTAAATAAATAAATAAATAAATAAATAAATAATCTTTGTTTTTCTCTTTTTCTTCCTGTCTCTAAATCTGCAGAGGAATTGGTGTGGCTTGCAGAGACAACGCAGCCAACGATAACAATTCCAATTCATCATTAATGATATTTTTACTTGGAAATCTCGAGCCCCAAGAGGTTTCACCTATTTAATCCCAACGCCTTGAAGTCGTGCTCTAAACCATCCTTCACACTCCTTCCAATGAAGCAGGAAGTCATTTCTTTGGGAAGGGAGGGGAGAAATAACAGCAATTATTCCAATTTGCCAAAATTATGGAGGCAGCTCCATATATGTTTATCAGACTGCCTCCAATGTGCTCTCTGCAGAAAACAAGCCACTGGCGCCCTCTTGTGTCCAGCCTTGGAAGCACAACTAAGCATATTTTAAAGGTGTGCATAAAGGTAAACAAATTTGTTGTTGTTGTTAGCTGCTTTCAAGTCATTTCTGACATATGGAAACTCTAAATCAGGGGTTTATGGACCTCTTACATTATTTCCTGACTGTCATGAGGTTTAGAAAGCGACTGACGGGACCCCAAAGGCCATCTAGTCCCCCTAGTGCAGGGAAAGCACAACTGCTTAAGGAAAGGGTATTTTAAAGTCAGTGCCCATACCCACAAGCCTTGTATCTAAATTCAGGCCCTACCATAATGACGAAATGCAATGACAGCCTTTCAGATGTGATTGTCCCTGGCCCTTGAGTGCTCCAGCTGGAGGTCAGCTGTGACCAGCAGTGCTGTAGAATTTGAAGAGACACGAATGGAGGGCAAAAGCGAGAAACATGCCAAGAGGAAGGTGCATCAAGCCAACTCCACCCTGGACCGCCTTCCACCTGGAAAGCAATGCCCTCACTGCGGGAGAAGATGCAGATCAAGAATAGGGCTCCACAGTCACCTACGGACCCACCCCCAGGACACTGATCTTGGAAGACTATCCTACTCGGACAATGAGGGATCGCCTAAGTGAAGTGAAAGTGAAGTACTACAACTCCCATCAGCTCCCATCTAGTCAAATGATGAGGAATTGGCTCACCTTGAAACTTCTGTAGCAAACTTTCCATGAGAGACGTTAAAGGCAAGGCCAGAAGCGCCAAAACGAAAGCCACGTTGAAGTTCAGGAAGCCGTTGACAAAGTAGAAGGAGCAGGGCTCGGTACCTGCAGGAGGAAAGCAGGGGGAAAAAACCATTTGTGGGAGGACAGAAGTTTTAAGATTGAAAACCCATCCCGTATCCTTTTTTTTAAGGAGATGCCCATCATACACTTGTGTCAGGGACGTATGGCCATCTGTTGGGAGGGCTTGAATTGTGCTTTTCCTGCCTGGCCAAAGGGGGTTGGACAGGATGGCCCTTGGGGGTCCCTTCCAACTGTAGGATTCTATGACTAAGTCAGTCAGTTTGCAGTTTGTAATAATCCCAGGATGGAATTTGAGATGATCACTGCAAAGCAACTGACTTAGAATTGCAGTGTTATTACAGAGGAAGGAAGTGATTCCAAAAATCAGATATAAAGCCCTAAATGATTCTGGCCCAGTTTACCTGTCCGAATGTATCTCCTCCTATGGACTATTTAGGACAGTGGTTCTCAACCTGGGGTCTCCAGATGTTTTTGGCCTTCAACTCCCAGAAATCCTAACAACTAGTAAACTGGCTGGGATTTCTGGGAGTTGTAGGCCAAAAACATCTGGGGACCCCAAATTGACAGCTCGAGCCCCAAGAGGTTTCACCTATTTAATCTAGGAGCTTAAGATTGTCTGGGGAGGCCCTGCTCTCGATCCCACCTGCCTTGCAAATCCGACTGGCAGAGATGAAGGACAGGGCCTTCTCAGTGGTGGTCCTCCTGGCTATGGAACTCCCTCCACAGGAATATTTGATCAGCCCCCTCCTGACTTTCCGAAAAAAGTAAAAATCTAGCTTTTTGAGCAAGCTTTTGAGAATGCAGCGGAATAGATAACACGGAACTATGAACGATGAGCATGAAATGGCCAGGCGATGTTACTGAATAACGTTTTTAACAAGATGACACCAATGATTATATACTTTAACTGTTTTTATTTATGTTTTATCTAAAACACAGACATGTGCCTTTCATCTCAAGAACAGAGAAGCATCCCGAGCTCTAAAGATCACCTGGGAAGGAATCCCACTGGAGCATTGCAGCGAACCCAAATACCTGGGAGTCACTCTGGACTGTGCTCTGACCTACAAGAAGCTTTGTTGTTGTTGTTCATTCGTTCAGTCGTCTCCGACTCTTCGTGACCTCATGAACCAGCCCACGCCAGAGCTCCCTGTCGGACGTCACCACCCCCAGCTCCTTCAAGGTCAGTCCAGTCACTTCAAGGATGCCATCCATCCATCTTGCCCTTGGTCGGCCCCTCTTCCTTTTTCCTTCCACTTTCCCCAGCATCATTGTCTTCTCTAGGCTTTCCTGTCTCCTCATGATGTGGCCAAAGTACTTCAACTTTGTCTCTAGTATCTTTCCCTCCAGTGAGCAGTCGGGCTTTATTTCCTGGAGGATGGACTGGTTGGATCTTCTCGCAGTCCAAGGCAACTCTCAGAACTTTCCTCCAACACCACAGCTCAAAAGCATCGATCTTCCTTCGCTCAGCCTTCCCTAAGGTCCAGCTCTCACATCTATAGGTTACTACAGGGAATACCATGGCTTTGACTAGGCGGATCTTTGTTGCCAGTCTGATGTCTCTACTCTTCACTATTTTATCGAGACTGGACATTGCTCTCCTCCCAAGAAGTAAGCGTCTTCTGATTTCCTGGCTGCAGTCTGCGTCTGCAGTAATGTTTGCACCTAGAAATACAAAGTCTGTCACAACTTCCACGTTTTCTCCCTCTATTCGCCAGTTATCAATCAGTCTGGTTGCCATAATCTTGGTTTTTTATGTTTAGCTGCAACCCAGCTTTTGCGCTTTCTTCTTTCACCTTGATTAGAAGGCTCCTCAGCTCCTCCTCGCTTTCGGCCATCAAAGTGGTGTATCATCTGCATATCTAAGGTTGTTAATGTTTCTTCCAGCAATTTTTACCCCAGCCTTGCATTTGTCAAGCCCCGCACATCGCATGATCTGGACCATGCTCTTACATACAAGAAGCACTGCCTGAACATCAAGCAAAAAGTGGGTGCTAGAAACAATATCATACGAAAGCTGACTGGCACAACCTGGGGATCACAACCAGATACAGTGAAGACATCTGCCCTTGCGCTGTGCTACTCTGCTGCTGAGTACGCATGCCCAGTGTGGAACACAGCTCACCATGCTAAAACAGTGGACGTGGCTCTTAATGAGACATGCCACATTATCACGGGGTGTCTGCGCCCTACACCACTGGAGAAATTACACTGTTTAGCCGGTATTGCACCACCTGACATCCGCCGGGAAGTAGCAGCCAATAGTGAAAGGACCAAGGCAGAGACATCTCCAGCTCATCCCCTGTTTGGGTATCAGCCAGCACGTCAACGACTTAAATCTAGAAATAGTTTTCTAAGATCTACAGACACACTCGCTGGAACATCTCAGCAAGCGAGAGTCCAAAAGTGGCAGGCTCAAACCCAGAACCTCAACCAATGGCTGATACCACATGAGAGACTCCCCGCTGGGCACACAGAGGACTGGGTGACTTGGAAGGCGTTGAACAGATTGCGCTCTGGCACCACAAGATGCAGAGCCAACCTTCAGAAATGGGGCTACAAAGTGGAATCCTTGACATGCGAGTGTGGAGAGGAGCAAACCACTGACCACCTGCTGCAATGCAACCTGAGCCCTGCCACATGCACAATGGAGGACCTTCTTGCGGCAACACCAGAAGCACTCCAAGTGGCCAGATACTGTTCAATGGACATTTAATCAACGACCAAACTCACACATTTTGTATTTTCTGTTTGTTTGCTTTGTTCTGTTAGAAATGTAATATAATTGACTGGCTGCCCTGACACGAGAAATAAATTTATGTTTTATATTGTAATGTTGATTGTTTTTAATGGCAGTTTAATGAATGCCTGACATTGAATTGTGCCAATATGTAACCCGCCTTGAGTCGCCGTATGGCTGAGAAAGGTGAGCTATAAATATCGTAAATAAATAAATATGAACTCACCATAAAGATCCGGTCCATGTGGCGTGAATACATTATACAAGACAATGTTGAGAGGGGTCACCACAAGTTTCCCATAGTGATAACTGTCAATAGCCACCAGAGGAACCTTGAGGAGGAAGACAAAGCACACAGCCATTTATTATAAGTTAGTCAAAGTTTAGCATTTGGACCCCACACATTTAACCAAGCAAGGGACTGGCTGTATGGTATCTTTGGGCTTGGCCTCATGTTAGCCGCCCCGAGTCCTCTTTGGGGAGATGGTGGTGGGGTATAAACAAAGATTATTATTATTTATTATTATTATTATTATTATTATTATTATTATTATTATTATTATTCCCTTCCCACAGAAGCATTACCTATTGATCTACTCACATTTGAATGTTCTAAAACTGCTAGGTTAGTAGAAGCTGGGCCTCACAGTGGGAGCTCACCCTGCTCCCTGGATTCGAACCGCCAATCATTTGGTCAGTTCAACAGCTCAGTGATTTACCTGCTAGGCCAACAGGGGGCACTTGTAGTAGTAATAGTAGTAGTAACAATTATTATTATTATTATTATTATTATTATTATTATTATTATTATTTAGGTATTACCCACCTCTCCTTGCGGCTCGAGGCAAGGCACAACATGGTTCAACCAATGAGATCAAACAAAAGATCGAAATATATATATTACCTATCCGAACATATCTCCCCTTATGAACCATCTAGGAGCTAAGATCTTCTGGGGAGGCCCTGCTCTCAGTCTGACCTTTATTTAAATTTATTTGTTTATTATTTATTTAAAACTTTTATATCCCGATCTTCTCTACCTCCACAGAGGGACTAAGACCACCTTCCTCACAGATGCGTTTGGCGGGGACGAGAGTCAGGGCCTTCTCACTGGGTGGCCCCTTGACTGTGGAACGCCCTCCCCAGGGATATAAGTTCGGCCCCCTCTCTCCTGACTTTTCGAAGAAAGGTGAAAACCTGGACTTTTTGAGCAGACCTTCCCAAATGTCTGCTCAAATGTCTGCATAGTTATACAAAAGCATGGAACCACTTGACGACGCAATTGAATAATGAATTGACATGGAGACGCTCATGATTATATTTTTAAGGCTTTGTACAGTTTTTTTATATTCTTATATTGTATGCTACTGTTTTCAACAGTATTTTATTATTGTTTTACTTGTTATAATTGTTGAGGCATCAAATTGTTGCCAATTGTGTCGCCTCTGGGTGGTATATAAATGTGGTAAATAAATAAATAAATACATAAAATGTATCTCCATAGGTAAAATACAGATTAAAGTTCACCTAGCGGTTCCTTGACATCTCAAACAGACGAACAGTTTGGGAGGGAGACTCACCAGAAACACCACCAGTGACACAAGAGACCACCTTAGGAAGCTCTTCCACCTCTTTTTCAGGATCAAGAAGTCAAAGGCAATGGGAAGCCTAGCAAAAGGAAGACAAAGGCAATGTGTCAAGAGAAGAGACTTGGGGCATTTTTTTGTTGGCAGAACAAGTAGTTAAACCTCTTCTTAGATGCTTAAGAGTAGCTAACCAATTGCTATTGAAAAACAGACTCTGATCATATCCCCAAATAACAGGCTAATGTCCCCCCCTGCCTTGAATGCAGCTATTTTCGAAATGATTCAATGCTTATGAAATGAATTCATTTTTTGTTTTAAAACAGGAGACAGAAGAGGAAGTGAGCATTAAAGGTTATAGGAATAGAGAAGTGCCGCTGGAACGTGGAGAAGGGAATAAAGAGTGGGATGTTTTCAGAAACGTTTTGACTGCATCAAGAAAAGCCTTTCCAAGTACGGGACAAAACCATTAACTGAGAACATATGGATGCTGTGATGGAGATATATTATTTTTAATTATTTATGACATTTATATGCCGCCCTTCTCACCCCAAAGGGGACTCAGAGCAGCTTACAAGATATATACATACATACATACATACATACGTGTATATATATATATATATATATATATATATATATATACACATACACACACACACACACACACATACATACATATACACACATATAATATATTATATTATTAGCATAGTACAATATCAGTATTATATATTACTATACTGTACTATGCCATTATATTGTAATATTATTAGTAATATTTCATGTAATATAAAGTATATAAATATAACAAAAAGCCTTCGACAATACATAAAGTATATAATTATATCATATTATTAGTATTATATTGCATTATATTATAATATTATAAATATAAATATAAAATATGAATATAAATATGAATATAAAAGTAATAGTACTCCCATAATAATAATAATGATAATGATAATAATACATCACACAGTCCTAGAGGCTTGGGAAGTGTTCAACTTGTGATTTTGTGATACAAAATCCAGCATATAGATCTCGTTTGCTGTGACATACTGTGCTTTTGTGTCAATAATAATAATAATAAATGATATTATTATATATGATATGATATGAGGATTTAAAGATCAAACTGCAAAGACTCTGGCACAAGCCAGTCAAGGTAGTCCCAGTGGTGATCGGCACTGGGTGCAGTGCCTAAAGACCATGGCCTGTACTTAAACACAATCAGCGCTGACAAAATTACCATCCGCCAGCTGCAGAAGGCCACCTTACTGGGATCTGCATGCATTGTTCGCCGATACATCACACAGTCCTAGACACTTGGGAAGTGTCGGATGTGTGATCCAATACAACAGCCAGCAGTGTCTGCTGTGGACTCATCTTGTGGTGTTTCAAATACTAATAATACTAATACTACTGCTGCTACTACTACTAATAATAATAATAATAATAATAATAATAAAATCTTTATTTATACCCTGCTTTTCTCCCTCACAGGACAACAAACATGCAGCTGCTTGTTCAGGAATAGAAGGGTCCAAAACAGTTACTATCTCAGCACAACGGTGAACAAATCCAATGGGAAGAGCCTGAGCATCTCTATGGTCAATCTATCCAAAATACCCAGAATGCCCCGGTTTCTGGCTTGCTTACCCAAGTGCAGCGCTGAAGGGCCAGCCCACAATAGCCCCCGCTGCCACTCCCAGGACAGCCAGGGAGACCTTGTCCATGTACCACCCGGTCATGGCCACGATTGTGCTGTACATGCAGAAGCTGCTGGGGAGGAAGGCTGGAAAGCAAGAGCAGCAGAGAAGGGTCAGGGATGGATGCTCAAAACCCCACAAATTCATCAATCTGTATGCAGAGAGTCCCAGGTTCAGCTTCTAACATCTTCCCTTTTAAGATGAGGTTGGAAGATAGTCTAGAGCAGAGCTTATTATTATTATTATTATTAACTTTATTTGTACCCCGCTAGCATCTCCCGAAGGACTCTATGCGGCTTACACAGGCCGAAGCCTCAGAACACAATACAATAAAAAACATAACACAACAATAGCTTCTTAAATGAAGGGTTGGGACATCAGATAGGGTTGCCATAACCATATGTTGGGGTCGCTATTCTTTCTGTCCTGTGTGCACACATGTCTCCACTTTCCCTTCTTTTTCTCCTCTCTGCTTTTCTTTCTCCCTCTGTGTTGCAACTCAGGGTAGTTTTCACCTTGCTCCCAAACACCACCACACCAAAGCTGTAGATTTTGTAGTTGAACACAAGACCCAAAATCCTAGACTCAGGAAGCCAGAAGCGTGCTGCTTAAAGCCAAGGTTAATCCATAGAAGTTTGCATGGGGCTACTTTGAACTTACAACCCCTGTGTGTCAGCGAGAAAGCTAATTACCCTTTGCAGACATGAACGCAATGCGATGACCTTTGGCAGACTTGGCTTCTCGCTTGCTAGCCAAGCGAGAGCTTCTTCGTACCCTTAATTGCAGATGATCTTGCCTGCTCATTAATTCGTTATCTTCAAGGCTCTCTAACCCCTTATCTTGGTCCTGCAGCTGGACCGGATCACCGTGGGAAGGCAAAGGAGGCAAAGACATCTCCACCTGGCCATGTGGGAATTCACTCTCGTTATCAGTCTCACTAACATTCTTTTCCCCTGAGAACTGACTTGCTGTTTCCCCTTCTGCCGCCTCACCATCAACCCTGTCTGAAACATGTACAGAAATCTGTAACCCATCCTCCTCATCATCATCTTGTAGGAACTCTGGCTCATAAAGCCCACAGGGCTCAGCTTCAGACTCTGCTATCCCTTCTTTCTCACTCATACTTTTTTCTGTTTCACTCTCTCTGCCATCCTTTCTCTCGCACATGCCTCTCTGCTTTTCCTTCTTTCTCTCGGCTCTCTTCTTTCACATGCATGCCTCTTTCTGTTCCCCTCTTTCTCTCTCTCTCTGCCATCGTTTCTTTCTCACACACACATGTTTTCCCTTTTCTATCCCTCTCCTCTCTGCTTTCCCTTCTCTCACACATACCTTTCTGTTTCTTTTTTCTCCTCGCACATCTCTGCCATCCTTTCTCTCACACACATATCTATGCTTTCCCTTCTTTCCCACTCTTCTCTGCTTCTCCTTCCCTCTCTGCTCTTTTCTTTCACATGCATGTCTCTTTATGTTTCCCTCTTTCTCTCTCTCGCACATCTCTCTGCCATTGTTTCTTTCTCTCGCACGCATCTCTCTCTGTTTTACCTTCTTTTTTCTCTCTCCTCTCTCTGCTTTCCCTTCTCTCACACATACCTCTGTTTCCTTTTTTCTCTCCCTCTCTTATATCTCTGCCATCCTTGCTCTCGCACACATCTCTCTGCTTTTCCTTCTTTCCCTTTCTACTCTGCTTTTCCTTCTCTCTCTACTCTCTTCTTTCACATGCATGCCTCTTTGTTCCCCTCTATCTCTCCCTCTCATACATCTCTCTGCCATCCTTTCTCTCACACATGTCTCTCTCTCTATTTTCACTTCTTTTTCTCTCTCCTCTCTCTGCTTTCCTTTTTCTCATACGTACCTCTTTGTTTACTTCCTTTTCCCCTCTCTCTCACGTCTCTCTCTGCCATCCTTTCTCTCGCACACATCTCCCTGCTTTTCTTTCTTTCCTTCTCTTCTTTGCTTTTCCTTCTCTTTCTGCTCCCTTCTTTTACATGCATGCCTCTTTCTATTCCCCTCTTTTTCTCTCTCGCTCTCTCACACATCCCTCTGCCATTGTTTCTTTCTCTCGCACGCATGTCTGCTTTCCCTTTTCTCTCTCTCCTCTCTCTGCTTTCCCTTCTCTTACACATATCTCTTAGTTTCCTTCTTTTTCTCCCTCTCTCGCATGTCTTTCTTTCTGTCATCCTCTCTCTTTCTTACTCGTGTCTCTGAAGCTCTGATCTAGAACAGTGGTTCCATGGGCCGTTAAGCTTCCACAAAAGCACAATCAGGGTTCCGTGCAAAAATCTTTCAAAATCAATTTTAAAATGGATGTTAAAATAAAACATAAGACCAACTATTTGATTTACAGTCTCCAGAATAGCTATTCTGCACTGCAACTATGACTCTCAGGCATGTAGTTACTGGCTGGACATTTCAAGGGGTTTTTTTTGTCGTGTCAGAAGCATCCTGTTGTGAGAGAATTGGCTGTCTGCAAGGACGTTGCCCAGGGGACGCCCGGATGATTTTGATGTTTTATCATCCTTGTGGGAGGCTTCTCTCATGTCCCCGCATGAGGAGCTGGAGCTAATAGAAGGAGCACATCCGCCTCTCCCCGGATTTGAACCTGCGACCTGTCGGTCTTCAGTCCTGCCGGCACAGGGGTTTAACCCACTGCGCCACCAGGTTTTCAAGGTGATTCATAGAATATCAAGAGTAAAAATTACACAAACACTTATACAGGAAGTTGGGAAACATATTTGAATGAGCATAGCATGATTCAGAATATATATATTGATGAAACAATCCAGGGATAGATTTAGGGTTCCTCAGAAAATACATGTCCTCTGAAGGGTTCCATGGCTGAAAATGTTTGGGAACCCTTGATAAAGAGAAACACTGCCAATCAAAGCAGATATTCATGGGCATCCAGATTACATTCTCAGTTTACGAGGTCAATTTTGTCTCAACTTACCAGCTGCTGAGCAGTACATCCCAGTGCTGAGCACCAAGAAGGCCAACATGAGGCGGCTCACATGCAGCCCAAACTTCTTGCACACTGCCCTGAGCAAACAGAAAGGGAGAACAAGAACAATCCGGTTCACAGAAGAACCAACAACATTCACCATTAACAGGCCACAGTGGGCCAGATGGGACAACGGTTCAAAGACACAAAGGGAGCAGGACTCATGCAACCCTCCTGGTGCCGCTGTTGGACTGCAGCTCCCACCTGGAGACCCAACTGCGAGGAATGCTGGGAAATGTGGTCTAATTCCCTAGAAGACTGCAGACCATACTGGATGAAGTACATTAACACCGTTGCAACGAAGGCGTCTTAGGCCACCTCCAAGCAACAGAAATAAAAAATACCATATTTCATCGCATAATAGTCATATTTTTCATCTGTTTTTTAATCAAAATGGGGGTGCGACTATTACACGATGAAAGAATTGCCCTTAATTCTCTGGTTTCTGAGGGTTTTCTTTAAATTAACTGCTTTACCTTAACTGATAAAGCAGTTAATTGATGATCCAGCCTCAAACAAACAGTTCATTTTCTGTTTGGGATTTTTTAAAACTGCCTTGCAAAGGAAGAGGAAAGATCTTTCTTTTGTTTGTTTGTTCGTTATTTCTTTCTCCGAAAGAGAAGGAGTTGACAAAATCTGAACTGGAGCTCTTTTGAGGAAGGAGGGAAGGGCAGAGCTTCAGAGACCTACATTTCAAAGCTTTCAAACTGCCTTAAAGCCTCTGCGACTATTATGCAAGGAATTAATTGATCAATCAAACTTTATTTATATCCCGCCCCATCTCTCTATGGGGACTCAGGGAGGCAAACATTGAATGCCAGAAAAATAAACTATATATATAAATTGTATAAAACATTCAATCGTTAAAAACAAATCACAATAAAAGACCAATAAAACATATTTTGCAACATCAATAAAAATAGAGTTAAAAGCCATATACATAGTCCATTCCTTATTTGGTAAGGAACGCAAAAAACTCAATTTTGCCACTCAAAAAATGGAGATGCAACTACTATGCGGTGGCATATTATGCAATGAAATACAGTGCTCTCTGGCCAATTTCACACTAAGATTCTATTTATTACATCTGTGTTTGGCATTGTTGTTGTTGTTGTTATTATTATTATTATTATTACTACTACTACTACTATTTCCTGTATTTATTTCTTAATTGAGACACAAATCAGCTCACAATATTTTTTAGAAAAACCAAAGGACATTACTATGTATTGTATTCTAGATCCTAATCAATTTTTGAACTTTCCTTACCAAGCCCGTATCACTTGTTTCTTTATACTTTCTTTATACTTTCCTTTTCTAAAAGATATCAGACCTGAACAGGAGCTGGCTCACGCAACAATTTATTTATTTAATTTAACGCTGTCTTATTCACTATATAAAACCACCAGTTCTTTGTGAAGCTTTTAACAAATGAGGTCCTCGAGGTGGCGAGTGATGTTGTTGGGATAGCAGACATATAGTCACGACAGAATGAGAAGCCCAAAGTACTCACTTATAGAAGTAAAGCTCACAAACACAACTCAGGAAGGCCAAAAGGCAGCGCAGGAAATAGAAGATAAGAACCTAGGAGGAAAGGTTGCAGTTATGCTCCTTTCAAGAACAAAGACGATCACAGCCTATACTTCCCCAGCCTCTCATAAGACATAATAAAACCCCACTGGGCAAATCAGATCCGCAAAACATGGGAGACTTCTTTGAAGAAGCAAAGGCAGTTATCAGCTCCAGGAAACTTTGATCAAACCCTAACACTGCCCCATTCAATATCCACCCAGCACACAGCAAACACGATACGTAACCTGCATTCACACAAGGTGTCCCTGTTTTGTGCCATTTGCATGCTGTCATACAATGCACTTACCTTGTTGGTTTGCAGAACTCTGGCTTGGAAGAAGGCCGGCAAGGCGTGGAGCCACAGATACGCATAAGAGCGGATGGCATAGACAGGAGAATATTCCCATGTCTGGAAGCCTTTCCCGTAAATGAGGTAGTGCATCTATCAGGGTCAAAGCAAATATGAATCAGAACAACATCCTCATCCTTTCTTTTGCTGTTTGAATACATTTGCCAAAGGAACATTGATTCCTGCCTTCTGTTTATGTTTTTGTTTTTTTTTTGGGGGGGGGGGGGTTGCTGGTCAGTTAAGATCAATGGGCACTTTTGGGCTTTCTGAATTGAGTATTATGTGCCTTTAAGTCACTGGTTGGCTTATGGAGATCCCTGCCTTGAGCCAGGTAAATAATAACAACAGCAACAACAACAACAGCAACAACAACAACAACACTGGGTGCAGTGCCTAAAGACCTTGGTCTGCACTTAAACACAATTGGCGCTGACAAAATTATGATCTGTCAGCTGCAAAAGGCCACCCTACTCAGATCTGCACACATTGTTTGCCGATACATCACACAGTCCTAGACACTTGGGAAGTGTCCAATGTGTGATTGATTTACACTATTTCTATCCTGCCCATATCAGCCCGAAGGGTGGCAATACAACAATATTGTGATCCAATACAACAGCCAGCAGAGTGATCTTGTTTGCTGTGGACTCATCTTGTTATGTTTCTAATAATAATAACAACAACAACAATAATAACAACAACAATCACTATTACCATTAGGCAAATCAAATTGGTTTATTGATGTCTTCCTCTGAAAATAGCCTCTAATATCTGATACTCCCCAGTGGCATCACCTCCAAATACTAACCAGGCCTGGTCCTGCTTATCATCCCAGATTGGACAGGTACCTACAGAGTATTTTAACTACTGTCAAAGAAGCATGGAAGAGTTAAAAAGCCACTAAGAAAAACACGTTTGCTTCTTTCAGCCTCAGAAGAAGGAAAATCAGAAAGCAGTCCTTCCAAACCAAATCATTGCATTTAGCCAAAAAGGATGACCAACTGCAAACTCTGAAAAAAGTGACTCCCACGCAGATAAGGGATAGCTAAAATGAGGTGAAGCTTTAACAACGAAAGGGCTGGCATGCAGAATGACTGGAAACTCGTAGATTTTAAATCCTGCGGTGATTATCTCTCAGCCCTGAAAGACCCTTTGCAGTAAAGCCATATTCACTCACCGGTTCCCAGTAATTGAAAGTCTCGTCGCAGTCGGAGATGTTGCTCAGGAGGGCGGCACAGAACCTGGCGGAGATTAAGCACTTAAAGGCTGTGGATCCTTCGGGAGCCCAGACGTGGCCGGCTTTGCTCCCAGTTGGCCTGGAAGGCAAGCAAAAGGCACCTGAGTTCACACTATTTGGAGGTTACATAAGATCAGATGCGAGTGGGATATACATTGAGGCCAATGGAAGGGAAGCACACTCAGCAAGTTGCTCTGGATGTTTAAATTACAGACCTAAAGCAAAGCTCTATCTACTGTTAGCAGCTAACAGTAGCTACTCTAATTATTTGAAGGCTAAGCAAACATATATGAAAGAAAAAATATTATTGTTGTTGCTATGTGCCTTCAATTCATCTCCCTAAAGCAAAGCTATCATAAGGTTTTCATCATGACTAAAGAATTGCCATATATACTCAAGTATAAGCTGACCCGAATATAAGCCGAGGCACCTAATTTTACCACAAAAAACTGGGAAAATGGATTGACTCGAGTATAAGCCGAGGGTGGGAAATGCAGCAGCTATTGGTAAATTTCAAAATAAAAATAGATACAAATAAAATTATATTAATTGAGGCATCAAGAGGTTAAATGTTTTTGAATATTTACATAAAACTGTCATTTAAGATAAGATTGCCCAACTCTGATTAAACCATTCTGACCTTCTTCAATGTAAATGTGCTTGCATTTTCTTCCAATAAAAATAAATAGAGTAAAATAATAAAGGTAATAACAATAATAGAGTACAAAAATTGAAATGTAATATTAACAATAATAATAAATAGAAAAAAATAATAAATGTAATAATAATAATAATAATAATAATAAATTTATTATGTATTTATAACAGAGTAAAATAATAAATGACTCGAGTATAAGCCAAGGGGGACTTTTTCAGCCTAAAAAAAGGTCTGAAAAACTAGTATATACAGTATATGAATTCCATTTTACAATCCAATTTTATGTCAGGTGCTGAAACTGTTGTCCTTCTATTACTATTATTATTATTAATAATAATATTACATATGAGTTTTTCTCTCTAAAATAAGACTCAAATTGGCTAATACTGAAAGGAATACAATATAATCAAATCTCACGTCGAAGTTTCCCTTGCAAAGTTCGACTATTTCTATGCTAGATATAAATATGATTAGAATTTTCTTAATTTTATATGAGATACATATAAATGTATATTGATTAGATTAACTATATAAATAGTTATCTGAGATATAAATATAATGATTGGAACTGTGGCGCAGCTGGCAGGGAGTTAGCTGCATTAAGATCACTACTGACCAAAAGGTCATGAGTTCGAAGCCAGCCCAGGTTGGAGCGTCTGACCAATTTGTGTAGCTTGTTGTTGACCTTTGCAGCCCAAAAGACAGTTGCATCTGTCAAGTATAAAATTTAGGTATTGCTTATGCGGGGAGGCAAATTTAACTCATTTACGAGGCCATAAAAATCTCCAGCAAGCATGTAAAGAATGAGGAAGTACTTCATCAGTGTCACAAATGGTCGGTGAAGGGACAGCTCCCCTGGTGGCCAAAATACCCTCAAGAAAAGCTGCAATGTTAAATTGCCTCTGTGTCTGTCTATATATGTTGCGTGTCTATGGCATTGAATGTTTGCCATGTATATGTACATTGTAGTTCGCCATGAGTCCCCTGTGGGGTGAGAAGGGCGGAATATAAATACTATAAATAAATACAAACATATACATACATACATAATTAGAAGGGATATGAATATGATGATTGGAATAAATATAAAAAGATATATCAGACTTATATAATATGAGATGGAAATATAATTAGAATTATATAAATATATATATATTTATATGTGACATAAATATAATGCTTAGAATAACACATAGTTATATGTGATATAAATATAATAAGAACTATATAAATATATAGCTACATGGGGTATAAATATAATGATTGGAATAAGTACAGAAATATATAATTATATGGGACATAAATATAACAATTAGAATTATATAACTATATAGTTATATGTGCTATAAGTATGATTAGAATAGATAGTTAAATATGACATAACTATGATTGGAATAATATAAATACATAGTTACACGGGAAATAAATATAATGATTAGAATAATACATAGTTATATGAGAGATAATGATTAGAATTATATAAATGTAAATGGCTAATATGGGATATAAATATAATGATTAAAATAAATACAGAAATACATAGTTATATAGGAAATAAATATAATTATTAGAATAAGAGTTATATGAGAGTTAATGATTAGAATTATATAAATATAAATATCTAATATGGGATATAAATATAATGATTAGAATAAATACAGAAATACATAGTTTTAGGAGAAATAAATATAACGATTAGAATAATACATCGTTTTATGAGAGACAATGATTAGAATTATATAAATGTAGATATCTAATATGGGATATAAATATAATAATTAGAATAAATACAGAATTACATAGTTTTAGGAGAAATAAATATAACAATTAGAATAATACATAGTTATATGAGAGATAATGATTAGAATTATATAAATGTAAATATCTAATATGGGATATAAATATAATGTTTAGAATAAATACAGAAATACGTAGTTGTAGGGGAAATAAATATGATTAGAATAATAGTTATATGAGAGTTAATGATTAGAGTTATATAAATGTAAATATCTAATATGGGATATAAATATAATGATTAGAATAAATACAGAAATACGTAGTTATAGGGGAAATAAATATAATGATTAGAATAATACATAATTGTGTCATAAATATGATTGGAATTACAGAATTGCATAGTTACATGCGACATAAATGTAGTGATATAAATATGATTAGAATAAATACAGAAATATGTAGTTATAGGGGAAATAAATATAATGATTAGAATAATACATAGTTATATGAGAGATAATGATTATAATTATATAAATGTAAATGTTTAATATGGGATATAAATATAATGATTAGAATAAATAGAGAAATACATAGTTATAGGAGAAATAAATATAATGATTAGAATAAATACAGAAATATGTAGTTATAGGGGAAATAAATATAATGATTAGAATGATAGTTATATGAGAGTTAATGATTAGAGTTATATAAACGTAAATATCTAATATGGGATATAAATATAATGATTAGAATAATACATAATTAAGTGTGTCATAAATATGATTGGAATTACAGAATTGCATAGTTACATGTGACATAAATGTAGTGATTAGAATAATACATAGTTATATGGGACATAAATATGATGATTATAACTATATAAATACATAGTTATATGGGACATAAATATAATGATTGGAACAATAATAAAACCAACAAGCAAGGGGATAACCTGGCTGTGAGCGAGGCATTCGTGGGCCCATTTCTGTGGGGCTGTCTATCAATCATTTCTCTCATGTGAAGCTTCCTTCCCTCCTGACTGGAATGCCCCCAACTGACAGGAGGCTTGGCCTTGAGAGGCCTCCCTCGCGCTCCCCTCCCTGCCTTCCCCTCCTGCGGGGGTCCCTGGCCCCAAAAGCCCGCCCCCCGCACACCCCCAGGGGAAGCCAGGCCCCTTACTCGGCTCGGGCCTCCTCGGGAGCCGGAAAAGGCCCGTCCCCTCCGCTCCCTCGAGCCCGCTGCCGGGCCCCTCTGGCCGCCATCTTGAGCGCGGGCACCAACAGGGCGAGGGCTCCGCCCACTTTGCCGCCAGCGAGGGGAGACGCCTCACCGCGGGAGCCCAAGAGCCGCCATGATGAGTCAGGGCAGGGAGCCCTGCGCATGCGCGACTCCTCCTTCCTGCTGCCAGGCATGGGGTTATAGACCTCCAAGGGAACTTTCCCAAGCTCTGGCACAGAGAACGAGGAAGGGTCCCTTGAGGTCATCCTCCACTGTCTAACTAACTATAATAATAATAATAATAATAATAATAATAATAATAATAATAATAATAATAATAATAATAATAATAATAATAGCTATTGGGCCAGAAATAGCTTACATATATATATATGTGTATGTGTATGCTTACATATGTGTATGCTTACATATATATATATGTGTGTGTGTGTGTGTGTGTATAATAGCTATTGGGCCAGAAATAGCTGTCTCTCTCTCTATAAATATACATATAAAAAGCTATTTCTGGCCCAATATATTTTATTATATATATATGTGTGTGTGTGTGTATAAAAGCTATTGGGCCAGAAATAGCTCTCTCTCTCTCTCTCTCTCTKTATATATATATATATATATAAGCTATTTCTGGCCTAGTAGCTTTTATTTGTGTGTGTGTGTGTGTGTGTGTGTGTGTGTGTGTGCGTGTGTGTGTTTCTATATATATATATAAAATAAAAGCTATTGGGCCAGAAATAGCTTTATATATGTATATTTATAGAGAGAGAGAGAGCTATTTCTGGCCCAATAGCTATTATACACACACACACACACACACACACACACACACACACATATATATATATATATAAAATAAAAGCTATTGGGCCAGAAATAGCTCTCTCTCTATACATACATACATACATACATACATATATATATGTAAGCTATTTCTGGTCCAATAGCTATTATTATTATTATTATTATTATTATTATGACTCATAATAATAATAGCTACTGAGCCATATATATATATATATATAAAGCTATTTCTGGCCCAATAGCTTTTATTTTATTTATATGTGTGTGTGTGTGTGTGTGTGTGTGTATAAAAAATAAAAGCTATTGGGCCAGAAATAGCTTTATATATATATATATATAGAGAGAGAGAGAGAGAGAGAGAGAGAGAGCTATTTCTGGCCCAATAGCTATTATTATACACACACACACACACACATATATATATATAAAATAAAAGCTATTGGGCCAGAAATAGCTATATATATGTGTGTGTGTGTGTGTAAGCTATTTCTGGCCCAATAGCTATTATTATTATTATTATGAGTCATCATCATAATAATAATAATAGCTACTGAGCCAGAATATATATATATATATATATATAAAGCTGAAATGAAAAATAATTCCACAGGGGGATATATATATATATATATATATATATATATATCAAATACAGGTCTATATAATATAGTTAGATATTAGAATATATCGATATAGATAGCTATTTGGCCATATATATATATATATATATATATAAACAATTCAGGTCTATATAATATAGTTAGATATATATATTTACTACATTTATATGCCACCTTTCTCACCCCAAAGGGGACTCAGAGCGGCTTACAAGTTATAATTGTTTCTTATTTGTGCGCTATTTTCTTTGGGCTTCAATCCAGTCGTGATCTTATGCTATACATATACATATATATAAGCTATTCGGGCTGAAATGAAAAATAACACCACAGGGGGAGCTATATATATATGCATATGTATATGTATGTGTGTATATATATACATATACACACATACATACAGATACATATACATACATATACATACACATACATTTCAGGTCTATATAATATAGTTATATATTAGAATATATATATATACATAGAGAGAGAGAGAGAGAGCGCTATTTGGCCATACAGAATCATAGAATCATAGAGTTGGAAGAGACCTCATGGGCCATCCAGTCCAACCCCCTGCCAAGAAGCAGGAAAATTGTATTCAAATCACCCCTGACAGATGGCCATCCAGCCTCTGTTTAAAAGCTTCCAAAGAAGGAGCCTCCATCACACTCCAGAGCAGAGTTTTCCACTGCTGAACGGCTCTCACAGTCAGGAAGTTCTTCCTATATGTATATATATAAACAATTCAGGTCTATATAATACAGTTAGATTTTACACACACACATATATATAACCTGTGCTATTATTTTCCATTTCTGGCCAACTAGTTTAAATTCAGATACTATTTTGATAATATATTATATGTGTAATATATATTTGGTCAATGACCATGAAAACAAGCAGTAAAAGAAACAACACTGAGTATCAGAGTGACTGGTGAAATATTTATTTGTATCCAAAGCATTGGCAATGGGTTCCAGGTAATGATATTTATGCATCAGTATAAATTCCTATGGCAGTTAAGAATTGTGTGTGGGAGTTGAAGTCCAAAACACCTGGAAGGTCTAAGTTGGCCCATGCCTGAGTTAAATGCATACGGAAAGCGCTATCTGAGAGTCACGTGGAGGCAGCGCTGGACCTCTTTTCTCAGTTTGGCCTGCATTTCGGCCGCCTGCCTCGGACCGAGTGCCCGGTCGCAGGACTGGTAAGTGAGCCTGAAGCAGAGGCTGCTCTGGCCGGAGCCGGGCTGCAGGAAGTGGTCCAGAAGCTGGATGGAGACCACCATGCCGTGGGATGTGGCCCGTGCGATGGCATGGAGCTGGACTTCACTAAATCCGCTGGCTTCAGCGACCCAGAAGCTGATATCGTGCATGTAGGAGGGTGGGTGGAGCGAGAAAGTCTCAAAGGGCCCCAAATGCCCTTTTGCAAACTGCACCAGGAAACGCTCATCCCGTGTCCAGAGCAGGCGCCAGTCGGAGATCCCACATACTTGCATGGCGAGAAGGTCCAGGTTCAGTGAAACACACACAATTTCTCGGTCCGTGTTCATAGACTGGCATGGGACTGTATGTATCACCCCCACACAAAGCTTCTTCTTTGAGGCCTTTAGAGATGTGGTGATAAAGTATTTCGGATTAGAAGCCATAAAGGCGAATGAGTCCAGCTCGCCTGTTGCACAATCTAACTCAAAACCTGCTTCTTGGAGCAAGGAGTTCAACGTCCTTATGAGGTTTTTTGCAAGGAGCTGGGAACATACGTCTTCCAAGCCCTTGTTTGCCAAAGTGGCAAAAAGAGCCTCATGAAAAACAGGCGGCGAATAGGCAGAGATCGTGCAGTTCCTAAAGGCCAATCCACTCAAGACCAACAAAGTCCCAGGAGGGAACTCTGTATCTTCAAACACTGCATGAAGAGAAGGCAGCAGATAAGGTCTCAAGTAGTATTTCTCTGATTCCTGGCCGATTAAATGACTTCTCTGATCAGTATGTTCCCAGCCAGGAAAGGATAAGGCTTCGGTTTCCCTTGGAGTTCTGCTAACCACGGCGTCTGGGTTTCTGTTTATGGTTTCAACCATCCAAAAGGCCTCCAGAGAGGAAGGAGAGCTGGAGCTGCCTTGGAAGACCAAGGGAAGGGAAGAGTTCACTCTCTGAACCGGGAATGATTCGCTGAGTCCATCCACAATCTTTCCAAGTATGGTTCTTACAGGATGTTCTGAATCCCTGTCTAGAAAGCCCCTATTTGAAATAGCAAATGGACAAACAGGAAGTATATTAGATAAAGCATGTAATCCACCGTCTGTACATTTTTAAAGAAGAACCAATTATTATTTACGCAACACCAAACTTGCAAAATTATCCATGGTACTCAGACCGTTCAGTATTGTTCCCATTTCACAGACAGAAAGGCTGTTTAGCATCATATCTCTCTTGCTGATTCAAACCATATAGACTGAATTTATCTCTAATGGGTCAAAGAAGCCACTTTCAATAATAAGTAACTTGTTCAGAGTTGCAAAATATTGATGATGATGATGATGATGATGATGATGATGATGATGGTGATACCAATAATAACAATTCCAGAAGCCAGGATCTGAATCTCATTCTTCCTTTAATGGAAATCCACCAAGACACACTATCTTGTTTACATTACAATATTTGATTATGAGTTCACTGAAACCCCAAATATACATACATGGCTGTATATCCATTTGGAAATCAGTGGAATTCACCTCCAAGAAAACTCAGTGTGGATTCGCTTGTCATTCCAAATATACCTCAAGGCTAAGACCATCTGAATTTACCCTTCCATGTTTATGGACAAATTAATAGGATTTGGAAACTTGGGTGAGGTACATACCTGCTTATTTTATCTCTAAATATTTCTGGAACCTGGAAGGAAATAGTCTTGCCTCCCACTTTTGTGTGACAGATCCCAGGCCCAGGGTTTTGCAAAGAGGAACTCCTTGTGAAGATGTGGTTCAAGGCGCCTTCTACGCAAAAGGATTTATCCTGACTTCTACAAACAAATAGATTACTGTTAAGTGCTTTTCACTTGAACTATGAAGCTCACTGCCTGATTTGATTGGCAACCAGGCACTAAGACTGAGAATCCCTATCAAACCAATCCCAGTTTACATTTGCACCGATTTGAGATCAAGTCAGTAACCTCTTCCCATACACAATACTTTGCATCACAACAGGAAGAGGTTGCAGTGTTATCCCTAGAAATTCCCAGCACAAGGTCTCTTAATTTCCTGTATCGTGATGTAGTTCCTTCAGTAAAATTATCTTCTAAATTTTAAAGCTCAGCTCTGCTCCTGAATTGCTGGAGCTCATTTGCTCTACTGCTATGCATTAGAAGCTTCTGATCTGCTAAGCTGCTGCTGCTGCAATTCTTGCCAATTTACCTTTTCAAATGCTTTTTCTTTCTTTTTGGAAACAACCCAAAATCAGTCTGGTGGCCACAGCTTACCTGTACCCTGTGCATGTATATCCAGGTGCTTCCTTGTTGTGAAAGGGATGGACGTCGCTGAGGATGAGCCCTGCCTCTGCAGCCATGGCCACGACTTGCCAGCTGTTATGCCATTCCCTCCTGGGCTGGTCAGCAGGGGTCCCGCCTTGCCCCCTGCAGAGTGCCACATGGACCTCCCCCTTCTCGGCCAGGACCTCTGCACAACTGAGCAAGAAGAAGAGGCACATGGGTTTCATCTCCCATGCAGGAAGTAAACAAGTCTCTAGACAGGTTGGCTTCCATTGATTGGTTGGTGGAAATGGAAGGAAAGGGCAACGAGACATTGTGGAGTATTAGAAAATTGGAACTCTATGCAGGAAGTTAACAGTTACAAAAACCCAACTTACATTCGACTCCTAGAACAGGGTTGACCTGATTGAAGATCCATCTCTTCCAGCAACTTTGAATCATGAGTTTTGGCTCTGCTTTCTATTACTACTGTATGTTGATCGCTCCATCTTGTGTATGATGTATTTTTTCATCATGGTGTGTTTTGATTTATGTATTTTGGACAGCCCAGGCTTTTGAAGATGACACATTCTTAGTTCTATTGATAAATATCATTTTTTAATTTGATGCAAGAAATTCTTTGACACCACTTGAACTACCAAGGGTCCAATGTTATTGAATCATGGGAGTTGTAGTTTCACAAAACGTTTTGCCTTCTCTGCCAAAGAGTTCTGGGGACTCACTAACCTACACATTGCAGGATTCCATGGCTGTTAAAGAGGCAATTCTGTTCAATCCTCATTTTGTCTTGAAGTGTATTAATGCCACAAGGAGCAGAAAGTGTTAGAAGAGGGTCTCCTTTCCTTAGCATGAGACTCAGGTGCCATCTTTGAAGAACAAAAAGTGTTGAATAGAGAAGATCATGAGATCAGGGTGGAGAGAGTGAGCAATGAGATCTCCATCATGTTCCCCACCCATATTTTTAAATCATCTGTTTTTCTAGAAGGAAGAATCCCAAAGACATCTTCAAATGGTAGAAACATGGTAGAAACTATGTTTCTACCATGGTACAGGTAAGCTGTGATGTTTCTACCAGGGTACAGGTAAGCTGTGATGCCTTCTCCTCCCTCTCCATAAGTCCAAGGGGAAGATGGAAGGTCCATAAATTCAAAGGCTGGCCCAAATAAGGAGCTAATGAAGTGGGATTGTCCACCAAGAAAGCTAATAGGGTCCCACTTTCTCTCATCGTCCAGAAATGCCCTGGCTTCCCTCTCCATCCAACAACCATCATGGAATCTCCCATTCAAAGAACCTGGGATAGTTCTCTTGGCCCCTCCCCACTTACTTCCAGGGTTACTATAGCAACAGAAATAAACAATTCTGCATCTGCGCCATCATTCTTCAACTGCCCACTCCTTACCAAACACTCAAACAGCAAGGAGGTTAGGAGTGGAGATCTTCAGCCACTGTCCAGAGACCTTGAGTAGAGCTTTAGGATTAGCATGGCAGGTAGGAGAGAGGGATATTTAGATGTTCTGGTGGGACATTGAGCCATGTATTCTCAGAGTTGACCCAGATAAAAATCTAACTGTGGGTTCAGGTGTGGAGAAGGAGTGAAGACAGATCAGGAAAGAGAAAACTCTCGGTCATTGATGCTCTAATGCAGTGGTTCTCAACCAGTGAGTCCTCAGGTGTTTTGGCCTACAACTCTCAGAAATCTCAACCAGTTTACCAGCTGTTAGGGTTTCTGGGAGTTGAAGCTCAAAACATCTGGGGACCAACAGGTTGAGAACCAGTGATTTAATACATGGAGTCCAGTTTTAACAATCAACCAATGCCTAGAATAAAAGAGTAAGTACTGAGCACTTTGGTATCCCAGGAAGGTCATCAGGACTAGAGTTGACCAAAGAGATCAGGAGAGCATTTGACGTGGCCAAGGCGGCCAAAAACATCTCAAATTTGTGAAGCTTTAGGAGAATCAGTGACAATGAGAAGCACAATTTCCATTGAGTTAGATCTCATGGCTAGATGGCCCATATAGTCTCTTCCAACTCTATTTTATGATCTGACACTTGTTATTGACTAACTTGTGGCATCTGAATCCAAAAATGACCCCACTTTTTTTTCTGTCAATCATAATAGGTACAGAATACCCCCCCCCCTTGTCCCAAAAAACATTCAAAATGTACATACAAAGAAAAATAAAGAAAAAAATACCTGAATATATGGTTTATTTAGTTATTTTGTTTACACAGAGGCTATATATTGTTACTGTAAGTCAAATTATGTACAAGTAGTAGAATTTATTTACTATTTTTTATTTACTATATTTACACCCCACTCTCCTCATCCCAAAGGGGACTAGGAGCGGTTTACAGATTATGTCAAAATTCAATGCCGCATTATGCATATAAAGAATAAATATGACATTTCAAATTATAAAACAAAACATATAAATGCTACCATACATATTAAGGTAAACATTGATGTATTGACGAAGGCTTTCATGGCTGGAATCACTAGGTTCTTGAGGGTTTTTTCGGGCTATAGAGCCATGTTCTAGAGGCATAAACATTGATGCTTATTGCTTTTCCTGGAATGTTTAATCTGTGGACAATCTCGACTGATGCTCCAACAGTAGTCAGCCATCATACATACATCCCATCTACCCTGATACCTCCATGACCATCAAAGCCTCTTTAAGTCTAAAATAGCTGGGGGGGGGGGGGGGGGGGGGGGGGGGGGGGAGGAATAAAACTCAACAGGAATTATGCTAGTGTAATAGATGAGAAAAGAAAAAAGAGAATGGCTGGCAGGACATAAATATCTAGAAATGTTGCCTAGATGCCATCCAAGGCTCCTCTTGCCTATTGGGGGAAAGTACTAAAGCAGCTTAGAAAGGCATCAGGATTGGGACACCCATATTGATAGACTGTAGTCATTTAAGAGTGACCCTGGTGTCTCCAAAATATAGATAAAATGTGCCTATACTTGGAGATGCCTTCAGCTTGCAGAAGACATCTTCAGAAGACCCAGGAGCCCATTTTCAGCCTTGTTTTGGTTTGACCTGAGCTGCCCAATGAACATTAAACTTATAGTCCAGCCTGGCCAACTGACCCTCACCCTAGAAGTAGTTTTGTATCCTGGAATCCTGGGGTTGCTTTGGTGGCATCCAAAAACAGTTGAGAAGGCCCCAGTTCTGTGGGGTCCCTTGACAGCTCCACGGAACAGATACCACACCATTGTTTTCTTTTATAAGAGAAACCCAAATATCTCACGGCTTCTTTAGGATTCAGTGGGACAACTTGGGACAGGATCTCTTAGTGGTTTTGGTCAGGTGTCTCCATGTGGCCGATCAGGAGGGATTATCCCTATTAACATATCTTTCTTTTTGTGTGACAGATCAGATGCTACATCGACGTCCAATGAGGGGCTGCAGAGAACCACTTCAATCCATCCTACCAAAGCCCCCTCCACCTCCCTCCATGACCCTCCCACCACACCCTTCCTCTTCCAGCATCTTCCCCCTCTCCCACAACCTTCCACCTCTTTCTATGTGCCTCACCCACAAGGGGCACAAAGGCAGTTCAGGTGGTTTCTCCACTGTACCCAGGCCACACCTGCCCCCATCCAGCCTCCCTATTTCCATGAGGGAATGGACCTAGTCAGGTAACCCCAGCCCCCCTTGCCCTGCATTCAAGATCCAGACAGCAACACCTCTTTGCATGAGCTTCTTGTCCCACTTGTCCCAAGCAACAACATGGCTTTCCTTTCAGAAGATCTTCCCAGGGATCTCTACTTCCTCCTCCTCCCTTTACTCCTGCCATGAAGGGGGGGGGGGGGGGGGGGGGGGGGGACACACTAAAGAGAAATGCCACTCAAAGATCAGCATGGGATATGGGCTGCTCTGGGGGATTGGTTTTGCAACCAACATTACAGGTATGCATTCAGCCAACAACTACAATGGCATGGGAGGATGACATTTTCAACCTCCAACAAAAGGGATGCAACCATCACACTTTTGTCACAATCTCTTGTTGTAGCCCTGGTCATTGGTATTAGGGGGAGGAAATTCCCAATGGACAAAGTTATCTCAATTTCTTGATGTGTATTTCATGAGAGAGAATATGATGTAAAAGGTGGGTCCTTGTAATTGAATTACTGAAAAGGAGTGTAACTACCTGCAGTGTCCTGAGGCACAAAATTATGCCTCCAGCCAGAATAAAAAAGGTCCAAAGGAGGCATGGGAGCTATTAAAGCCTCCACAGAAAAGCATGTTCTTGAGAGTCATCTGGCCCAACTCATGCTGGACTCCATCCAGGTCTTCCATCCAATGGGGAAGAAGTTCCAAGCTCTCCCCACCAAGGTGAGCTTCCCAAGGAGAAGACCACCAGGAGGTGCCTCAGAGCAACCGCTGCCCACCATGGCCATGATCATGGGAAGGGGCTTGGAGAAGCCACTGCCCCCGATACCCCCACGTGGACCTCCAGCCAGGATAACAAAGGTCCAAAGGAGGCATGGGAGCTATTAATGCCTCCACTGAAAAGCATGTTCTTATCTGTGGTTTAGAGGCTGCTTTTACCCTCAGGTGGGCCTTTGCTGCTAGAGATGGGAAGGGCGATTAAGCTGCACTGGTCCTCTCTTTAAGCCTCAAACTCCTCTTTGGGAGACCTCTCTTCCATATCCCATGAAATACGGAAGAGTCAAGCCAAAGGGAGGTAGGACAAGAAGTCAGATGGGAGTCTTGCCCAGAAGGGTAAGCATGTTTCCAGCAGAGAAGAAGCATCTGAAGTAGCTCCATGCAAAAGAGATGGACAAGGGCAGAAGAGGGGAAAAGAGGGGGCACAAACCCACCTGGGCTGCCCCTGACAAGCCAGCCCCTGGCCCGGCCCATGCTGGACTCCATCCAGGTCTTCCATCCATTGGGGAAGAAGGTCCATGCCCTCTTCACCAATGTGGCCCTCCCAGGGAGGAGACCACTAGGAGGTGCCTCAGAGCAACCGCTGCCCACCATGGCCATGATCATGGGAAGGGGCTTGGAGAAGCCACTGCCCCCGATACCCCCACGTGGACCTCCGGACAGGATAACAAAGGTCCAAAAGAGGCATGGGACCTATTAAGGCCTCCACTGAAAGGCATGTTCTTATCTGTGGTTTAGAGGCTGCTTTTATCCTCAGGTGGGCCTTTGCTGCTAGAGATGGGAAGGGCAATTAAGCTGCACTGGTCCTCTCTTTTTTAAAAAAAATATATTTTTATTTGGAATATGTTGCTCATAAGTGGAGCTGATAGAAAGAAAAGAAAAGTGATAATAAATTTATTTATTAGCACTGGTCCTCTCTTTAAGCCTCAAATTCCTCTTTTAGAGATCAAGATATACAAACCAGAACAGACAAAGGGAGGTGGGAGAAGAAGTCAGATGGGAGTCTTGCCCAGAAGAGTAAGCGTGTTTCCAGCAGAGAAGAAACATCTGAAGTAGCTCCATGCAAGAGGGGAGAAGAGGGGGGCACAAACCCACCTGGGCTGCCTCTGACAAGCCAGCCCCCGAGAGCCATCTGGCCCAGTCCATGCTGGACTCCATCCAGGTCTTTCATCCACTGGGGAAGAAGCTCCAAGCTCTCCCCACCAAGGTGGCCTTTCCAGGGAGAAGACCACCAGGAGGTGCCTCAGAGCAACCGCAGCCCACCATGGCCATGATCATGGGAAGGGGCTTGAAGAAGCCACTGCCCGATACCCCCAACCTGCACCTCCATCTCAGCAGTGGGGGCCCCTCTCTCCTCCCAGCCAACATTGAGGCATCTGCAACGCCAGCCCAGCCCTGGGTGCATAGTGGCCTGGCAAGGGGTTCCACCCAAGCCTTCATCTTTCCAAACTGGTGGAGGGTGAGGTCCCTTCTCCAAAGCCGCAGCCCTGCCTCCCGTAAGTATTGCTGCAGCAGCGGAGTGGACATCAAGAGCCACCCACAGAGCAGGCCCACTTTCTCCTCCTGACATGCCCTGGATGCCCCCTGACCCCAGCATGGAGGTCTCCCAGCCCATCCCAGGGGAGCCGCGGCCCATTCAGGAGTGGATCAAACACCAGGGAGAGAAGGGCAGGGGAAGAAGAGGCCCAGGCTGGAAAGGGCACTTTTGTTTGCACAGAGGGAGAAGGACCAGAGAGGCTCTGGACATTACAGCCACTCCAACAGGAACGTCAAAGGTATGTATTAATTAGTCGTAGATAAATTTGATCATAACTGGTTATTAAATGTATTATAGTGTATTTTAATGGACTTTTAACAGGCATGAATGCTTTCTGTTATTGTATTTCATGCAGCTCTGTATTGTTTGTACGTTTCCATTGTTTCATATTGTATTTAAATTGTTTATATGTGAACGACCTATGATCGAAGTGTAAATAAAGAGTGTTACTAAACATCCAGCAGTTTTCTTTAGGGTAATTATTATGAATCTTCCCCTTGAATTACCATTTTAAAGCACATTTAGGAACTTAGCGGCTCAGTTCTAGGAACAAAAAAAAAATCGCTTCTCTGAAGGATCCGAAAGGCCCACAGTGCCTTGCCTGGTTGTTCTATTTCCCATATCAATATTGTTAATTTTGAAGGAAAGCTCTGCTAAAACAGATTGAACTACGCTTCATTTTTTTGTGATGTAGGAAACCATCTGCCTCTGACATCAAAATTAATACCAGGAATTAATCTGCATCGTTTACAGAAGAGATAAATAGCTGCCATACATATATGTAAATAAATATGTATGTGTATATATATATACACACACCCATATATATGATCTGTGTTACCTATCCCTCAAGAAAGAAGACATGGAGGGGACCCAGAATACCAAAATCATGCTACATGAAAAGACTGAAACAATATCATCATAAACAAAAACAATAATATAGTTGGGGTGCTATCTGGTTTCCAGGTTTTGTGGCTGTGTTCTAGCAGCATTTTCTCCTGACGTTTCACCTGCATCTGTGGCCAGCATCTTCAGAGGATAGTCATTCATATTCCAACTTTCTTCTGATAAGCTGGGTAAAGAAAATGGACTACTATGTAAATTGTAGGTGGTCCTCTCTATTCACAGATTCTCCATCTATCGATTCAATGTCCCTTTGAAGGCAATCATAATGCTGATGTGGCCTTCTATGAATGTGAGTTTGACACTCCTATTCTGACATTTCTCTCTAGTGTCTTGTTTTTCTCTCACCATGTCTCAGTTTGCCTTCTCTGGATCTTCTTTTACTCTCATCTGTGAAATTGCTTTCATCCTCCATTTTTCCTGCTCTCATTGAGCGTCATGCTAAAGGTAAGGCATATTGTGGCCTTGGCACCTTCCCTCTTTTCTTTACTCATTATTTCTTCTCCTGTTCTGACTTATCCCTCTTAAAGTAGATTATTAATTAAGGAGGAGGGTGAAGAAGAATGGCAAACCACTCCCCTTGCTCCGCATTCATTCAGATGCATCCGAATATTCCACGACCATCTCTGGAGGACAAAAAGCATCAAAACAGAGAGGATCGTAAAATCATCATGATATGAAGTAGTAACGGTTTGGTGAGTTGGAAAGTATTCTTAACTCAGGAAATAATTTTTCAAAGGGGAAAAGGTGTATCGCCACCTTGTCCTCACCTGCAGAAAAACCTGGCAAGAAGCTCCCGGTTCTTCTTCACTCCGGCTTTTCTCCCGCAGTGGGGGAAGTTGAAATAAATGCGATCAAAATCCCTCTCTGCAGGCAAGAAGACCTCCTGCAGTTTTGTGCAGTCGACACAGAAGCGAACTTCAGCCCCTAAAATCCAAAGTGAAAAATAATTATGCAAGGCAAATCAAATATGGTAGTCTAATAATTAATAATAATAATAATGGAGCCCCCGGTGGTGCAGTGGGTTAAACCCCTGTGCCGGCAGGACTGAAGACCGACAGGTCACAGGTTCGAATCCGGGGAGAGGCGGATGAGCTCCCTCTATCAACTCCAACTCCTCATGCGGGAACATGAGAGAAGCCTCCCACAAGGATGATAAAAACATCAAATCATCCGGGCGTCCCCTGGGCAACGTCCTTGCAGATGGCCAATTCTCTCACACCAGAAGCGACTTGCAATTTCTCAAGTCACTCCTGACACAACAAAAACAAAATAATAATAATAATAATAATAATAATAATAATAATAATAATAATACTTTATTTATATTCCGCTCTATCTCCCTGAAGGGACTCAGGGCGAATTCCAAACATAAAAGGCAAACATTCAATGCCCGAGTACAACAACAATACATCCATATTAACAAAATTTAAACAACCCAACATATAAATATGAATTATAACTTAACAAACTAAAATTAAATAAAAAACATAGTCTGATATAACAGACATAAGACAAAACATTCCTAAGCCAGGAATCAAAGCTGACATGCACCACAGTTCTCTTTGCTGCCATGCTCACCTCTGCTCCTGAGGTATTCCACATCGGATCGAGCAAGCGCTTGCCTGGAAACAGCATCTTCACTTTCAAAGCAGGTCGCAACAATGCAGGCCTCGCAGCCTTTTGCTTCACACAAAGCGGCTGAGAAGGAGAAATTCCCTTCTCCCACAAAGAGGTGGCGAGGCTGAGGATGGCGGAGGGGATTCATGGTGGAGGAACCTCTGAGGGGAAGAGGAAGAGAGGTTAGGCCGCCTTCCAAAGAGATCGTCCTTAGTCGCAAAAGGCTGGGGAAATACCATCACTTTTGACAAGATCCACACAGGTTTGAAAATCCAGTTTGGGGTGACTGCATCCTGAATCTTTCAACTGGACTGGCCATTAACATATCAATTATTGTGTTGTCGAAGGCTTTCACGGCCGCAATCACTGGGTTGCTGTGAGTATTCTGGAATGTCAGGCCATGTTCCAGAAGCATTCTCTCCTGACGTTTCATTCACATCTATGGTAGGCATCCTCCCAGGTTGTGAGGTCTGTTGGAACCTAGGCAAGTAAGGTTTATATATACCTGTGAGTGTTCAGGGTGGGAGAGAATACTCCTGTCTGCCTGAGACAAGTGTGAACAGGCCAGCTTTATTAGCATTGAATAGCCTTGCAGTTTCAAAGCCTGGCTGGTTGCTGCCTGGGGGAATCCTTTATTGGGAGTGCTAACTGGCCCTGATTGTTACCTGTCTGGAACTTCCCTGTTTTCTGAGTATATTTCTTCATTTACTGTCCCAATTTTGGAGTTTTTAAATACTGGAATATGGCCATACTGCCCAGAAAACTCACATCAATTATTGTATATACTACAACTTATGATGTAATGCAATATATTATAGAATTCTAAATAGTATAATATACTGCTGGTACATTATATTTATTGTGGTATAATAATATAGTACAATATAATAATTACAGTATATAATTATATATTATATATTGTATTAATAATATCACAGTTTCGTGGTATAATACAATATAGTAATATAGAACACTAATATTATACTATGCTAATAACATAATATATTGTATATACATATAATATTAGTAATAATATTGTAATGTAATACTATATAATAATAATAATAATAATACAATATAATCGATATAAATAAAAATGTAATGTTCATTTGTGGGATTAACATAATTTAAAAACCACTGGATGAATTAACACCAAATTTGGACACAATATACCTACCAGGCCAACAAGTGACCGTCACTAATAATAAATAATAAAACTTTATTTGTACCCTGCTACCATCTCCCCAAGGGACTCGGTGCGGCTTACATGAGGCCAATAAACATCAATAAACAAAGCAATAAATAAAAACACTGAAAAACATAAAAACACTCACTCATAAAAACACTGAAAAACACAGTGGAAGAGACTTTAAAAGCCAAAAAAATAAAAAGACATTAAAATGCATGTGCAAAACCACACATACATATATGCAAACACACATATATACACATATACACAAATATATACACACACTTACACACATATACACAAAGCACATATACACACTGGGCCACAGCAACGTGTGGCAGGGGATGGCTAGTATATAATAATAATGTAAGATAATGCTGGCAGTCTTTAAGAGGAACTTGAAAACATGGTTGTTCCAGTGTGCCTTCCCAGAATAAGGAAAACTCCCAGCATTATGTCCTCAAAATGCACTTTACTACTGCCTTAGGACTGACTGCATTCCCTAATTCTCTCTAAAAATCCTATCCCAATTATATCCTACCTGGTACATATCAGCATATTTTTTTAATTTAATTTATTACATTTGGCCCGGCCTTTGGTTTTAAATGTTTATGTTACTGTTGATTGCTTTTGTCTATTTTGTTCATGTGATTATGATTTATATTGCATTGTTTTGTTTATTGATGTTCTGTTTATTGATGTATTGCGGGCTTGACCTCATGTAAGCCGCATCGAGTCCCCTGGGGAGATGGTAGCGGGGCACAAATAAAGTATTATTATTATTATATAATACAGTATAGTGCAATATATTAACAATATAATATATAACAATTATATATTATATATATTACTATTAATAATATTACAGTTTAGTGGTATAGAACAATATAGCAATGTAGAATACTAATATTGTGCTATGCTAATAACATATTGTATATACATATAACATTAAAATAACCTTGTAATGTTATTTTAATATTATATGTATATACAATATACAATATGTTATTGGCATTGTAATGTAATACAATAAAACTAATAATAATAATACAATATAATAATATATACTAATGTAAGATAATGCTAATATATTAAATATAATACAATATAGTGCAATATATTAACAATATAATAAATTATTATTATCATTATTATTATACATAATATTTGTATTACTAATATTACTAATATCAGTTTACTGGTATAGTACAGTAAATAATATAGAATACTAATATTGAGCTATGCTAATAACATATTGTATGTACATATAACATTAAAATAACATTGTAATCTTTTTAATACTATATGTATATACAATATGCAATATGTTATTGGCATTGTAATGTGATACAATAAAACTAACAATACAATATAATAATATATAATAATGTAAGATAATGCTAATATATTAAATATAATACAATATAGTACAATATATTATTAACAATATAATATATAATTACTATATTACTATTACTAATATTGCTAATATCACAGTTTAGTGGTATAGTACAATATAGCAATATAGAATACTAATATTGTGCTATGCTAATAACATATTGTATATACATATAACATTAAAATAACATTGTAATGTTATTTTAATGTTATATGTATATACAATATATACAATATGTTACTGGCATTGTAATGTAATACAATAAAACTAACAATAATGCAATATAATAATATATAATAATGTAAGATAATGCTAATATATTAAATATAATACAAAATAGTGCAGTATATTATTAACAATATAATATCACTATTACTAATATTACTAATATCAGAGTTTAGTGGTATAGAACAATATAGCAATATAGAATACTAATATTGTGCTATGCTAATAACATATTGTATATACATATAACATTAAATAATGTTATTTTAATGTTATATGTATATACAATATACAATATACACAATATGTTACTGGCATTGTAATGTAATAAAACTAATAATAATACAATATAATAATGTAAGATAATGTATGATAATGCTAATATATTAAATATAATACTACTGATAATAATGATACCACTGCTTTATTATTGTATATTTTTAGTTGTATTGTAACGTTTTTGATTGTAAGCCGCTTTGAGTCTCTGCATGGAGAGATAAAAGCTGGATGTAAATTATTTATTCAATTATTCAATTGGACAGGTCTACATAGGGACCACCAAACGCAGCATTGGCCAACCACGAATCAAGGAACATGAAAGGCATGCAGACTACTTCAACCAGAGAAGTCAGCCTGATGAACCAGCATGAGCACCTGATGAACCAGCATGGACACAGCATATTATTTGAAAACACAGAAATGCTGGACCACTCTCACAAACACCATGTCGGACTACACAGAGAAGCCATTGAAATACACAAGCATGTGGACAATTTCAACAGAAAGGAGGAAACCATGAAAATGAACAAAATCTGGCTACCAATATTAAAAAATGCTAAAATTGCAACAGTAAAACAGCAGAGAGGAAACAACCAGGCACATCTTAACACCTCTCAACAAAAGATTCCCCCAGGCTCAGCCAGGCCTTCAAATGCTAATGAAGGTGGTCAGCTGAAACATTCACACCTAGCTCCAGCAGAGAAGAGCTCTTTGCCCCACCCCAGTCATTCCACAGATATATAAACCCATTTTCCTACTTCCAACAGACCTCACTACCTCTGAGGATGCTTGCCATAGATGCAGGCGAAACGTCAGGAGAAATGCCTCTAGAACATGGCCATATAGCCCGAAAAAACCCACAAGAACCTAATACAATAAAACTAATAATAATACAATATAAGCCCCCGGTGGCGCAGTGGGTTAAAGCCCTGTGCCGGCAGGACTGAAGACCGACAGGTCGCAGGTTCGAATCCAGGGAGAGGCGGATGAGCTCCCTCTATCAGCTCCAGCTCCTCATGCGGGGACATGAGAGAAGCCTCCCACAAGGATGATAAAACATCAAACATCCGGGCGTCCCCTGGGCAACGTCCTTGCAGACAGCCAACTCTCTCACACCAGAAGCGACTTGCAGTTTCTCAAGTCGCTCCTGACACGACAAAAAATAACAATAATAATGTAAGATAATGCTAATATATTAAATATAATACAATATAGTGAAATATATTATTAACAATGTAATATATAATAATTATATATTATATATATTACTATTACCAATATTAAATATCACAGTTTAGTGGTATAGCTATATAGAATACTAATATTGTGCTATGCTAATAACATATTGTATATACATATAACATTAAATAATGTTATTTTAATGTTATATGTATATACAATATACAATATATACAATATGTTACTGGTATTGTAATGTAATACAATAAAACTAATAATAATACAATATAATAATGTAAGATAATGTATGATAATGCTAATATATTAAATATAATACTACTGATAATAATGATACCACTGCTTTATTATTGTATATTTTTAGTTGTATTGTAACGTTTTTGATTGTGAGCCGCTTTGAGTCTCTGCATGGAGAGATAAAAGCTGGATGTAAATTATTTATTCAATTATTCAATTGGACAAGTCTACATAGGGACCACCAAACACAGCATTGGCCAACCACGAATCAAGGAACATGAAAGGCATGCAGACTACTTCAACCAGAGAAGTCAGCCATAGCAGAGCACCCGATGAACCAACCTGGACACAGAAATACTATTTGAGAACACAGAAATGCTGGACCACTCTCACAACCACCATGTCAAACTACACACAGAGAAACCATTGAAATCCACAAGCATGTGGACAATTTCAACAGAAAGGAGGAGACTATGAAAATGAACAAAATCTGGCTACCAGTATTAAAAAACTCTAAAATTACAACAGCAAAACAACCAGGCACAGATTAACACCTAGAATCATAGAATCAAAGAGTTGGAAGAGACCTCATGGGCCATCCAGTCCAACCCCATTCTGCCAAAAAGCAGTAATATTGCATTCAAATCACACCTGACAGATGGCCATCCAGCCTCTGTTTAAAAGCTTCCAAAGATGGAGCCTCCACCACACTCCGGGGCAGAGTTCCACTGCTGAACGGCTCTCACAGTCAGGAGGTTCTTCCTAATGTTCAGATGGAATCTCCTCCCTTGTAGTTTGAAGCCATTGTTCCATTGTGTCCTAGTCTCCAGGGAAGCAGAAAACAAGCTTGCTCCCTCCTCCCTGTGGCCTCCTCTCACATATTTATATATGGTTATCATATCCCCTCTCAGCCTTCTCTTCTTCAGGCTAAACATGCCCAGCTTGAGAAAATCTCAACAAAAGATTTTCCCAGGCTCAGCCAGGCCTTCAAATGCTAATGAAGGTGGTCAGTTGAAACATTCACACCTAGCTCCAGCAGACAAGAGTCCTTTGTCCCACCCTGGTCATTCCAGAGATATATAAACCCCTTTTTCCTAGTTCCAACAGACCTCACTACCTCTGAGGATGCTTGCCATAGATGCAGGCGAAACGTCAGGAGAGAATGCCTCTAGAACATGGCCCTATAGTCCGGAAAAACCCACAAGAACCTAGTGATTCCAGCCATGAAAGACTTCGACAATATATTTATTCAATTAATTAATCAATTAATGGATGCTATTGGCCTCCCAGTTCGATTAGTCGATTACTATCCCTGCCTTTTGCTTCCCAGTCCAATTAGTCCATTAATATCCCTGCTCTTCTCTATTTACACACCTCTCGCCTCAGAAACCGCCTTTTTGTGCGTCATTTCCGGCGGAAAGCGGCTTCCCTTTCCGGCCGCCATCTTCCTTCCTCCTACTTCCGGCGCGGTTGCCAAGGCGACGCCTCCCTTCAGCTGCATCCCCGGAAGTGAGCGAGGCGCCGGGCCTGGCAAGGTGCGAGAGGCCTCTCTGGCATTATCCTTAGGAAATATTCCCTTTTGGGGACTGCAACTCCCAGAATTTCCCCCTCCCCGTGGACCTGACCGCTTCTCTTGAAACGATAGGGTCGCTGTGATAGGGTTGCTGTCTGGTCATGTTCCAGCAGCATTCTCTCCTGACATTTCACCCACATCTGTGGCAGGCATCCTCAGAGGTTGTGAGGTCTAGGTTCTTCTAGGTTTTTTCGGGCTATAGGGCCTTGTTCTAGAGGCATTCTCTCCTGACGTTTCGCCTGCATCTATGGCAAGCATCCTCTGAGGTAGTGAGGTCTGTTGGAAATAGGAAAATGGGTTTATATCTCTGATGAATGCAAAGCTGGGGTGAAAATGGCTGGAAGAAACATTAACAACCTCAGATATGCAGATGACACCACTCTGATGGCCGAAAGCAAGGAGGAGCTGAGGAGCCTTCTAGTCAAGGTGAAAGAAGAAAGCGCAAAAGCCGGGTTGCAGCTAAACGTCAAAAAAACCAAGATTATGGCAACAAGAATGATTGACAACTGGAAAATAGAGGGAGAAAATGTGGAGCCAGTGACAGACTTTGTATCTCTAGATGCAAAGATTACTGCAGATGCAGACTGTGACTGGGAAATCAGAAGATGCTTCCTTCTTGGGAGGAGAGCAATGTCCAGTCTCGATAAAATAGTAAAGAGTAGAGACATCAGACTGGCAACAAAGATCCACCTAGTCAAAGCCATGGTATTCCCTGTAGTCACCTACGGATGTGAGAGCTGGACCTTAGGGAAGGCTAAGCGAAGGAAGAGAGATGCTTTTGAGCTGTGGTGTTGGAGGAAAGTTCTGAGAGTGCCTTGGACTGCGAGAAGATCCAACCAGTCCATCCTCCAGGAAATAAAGCCCGGCTGCTCACTGGAGGGAAGGAGACTAGGGACAAAGTTGAAGTCCTTTGGCCACATCATGAGGAGACAGCAAAGCCTGGAGAAGACAATGATGCTGGGGAAAGTGGAAGGCGAAAGGAAGAGGGGCCGACCAAGGGCAAGATGGATGGATGGCATCCTTGAAGTGACTGGACTGACCTTGAAGGAGCTGGGGGTGGTGATGGCCGACAGGGAGCTCTGGCGTGGACTGGTCCATGAGGTCACGAAGAGCCGGAGATGACTGAACGAATGAACAACAACATCTGTGGAATGACTGGGGTGGGGCAAAGAGCTCTCTGCTGAAGCTAGGTGTGAATGTTTCAGCTGACCACCTTCATTAGCATTTGAAGGCTTGGCTGAGCCTGGGAAAATGTTCTGTTGAGAGGTGTTAAGATGTGCCTGGTTGTTTCTGAGGATGCTTGCCATAAATGCAGGCGAAACGTCAGGAGAAATGCCTCTAGAACATGGCCCTATAGCCCGAAAAAACCTACAAGAACCTAGTGATTCCAGCCATGAAAGCCTTCGACAATACGTTGTGAGGTCTGTCGGAAGCTAGGAAAATACAGTTTATATATCTGTGGACTCTTGTCTGTTTGAGGCAGGTGTGAATGTTGTAATAGATGACTTTGATTAGCATGGCAAGCCTTGCAGCTTCAAAGCCTGGCTGGTTGCTGCCTGGGAGAATCTTTTGTTGGGAGGTGTTAGTTGGCCCTGATTATTTCCTGTCAGGAATTCCCATTTTTAAGTGCTGTTCTTTATTTACTGTCCTGATTTTAGTTTTTTTTAAAAAAAACCCACTGGTAGCCAGATTTGGTTCATTTTCATGGTTTCCTCCTTCCTGTTGAAATTGTCCACATGCTTCCTGTGGATTTCAATGGTTTCTCTCTATAGTCTGGCATAGTGGTTGTTAATGGTGGTCCAGCATTTCTGTTTTGCAAATAATATTTTGAATTTAGTAGTCTATCAAGTGGCCAACTGCAACATTCACACTTGCCTTCGACAGACAAGGGTTATTTCTCCCAAACCTGGACATCATTCCACAGATAGATAAACCCCACTTGCCCAGTTTCCAAGAGGGGAATTCGAGATAAGAAACAATCAAGGCCAGTAAGAACCTCCCAATGAAGCAGGAAGCAGCCAGGCTTTGAAGCTCTAAGGTCATTCAATGGTAAGCAAGGTGGCCAATTGCAACATTCACACTTGCCTCAAGGAGACAAGAGTCCTTTCTCCCACCTTGGACATTCCACAGATATATAAACCAAACTTGTCTAGTTTCCAACAGACCTCAGAACCTCTGAGGATGCCTGCCATAGACGTGGGCGAAATGTCAGGAGACAATGCTTCTGGAACATCATTCCACAGATATATAAACCCTACTTGCCCAGTTTCCAAGAGGGAAATTCCAGACAAACAATCAGGGCCAGTAAGAACCTCCCAACGAAGCAAGAAGCAGCCAGGCTTTGAATCTGTAAGGTCATTCAATGCTAATCAAGCTCGCCAATTGCAACATTTATTTATTTATTTATTTTATTTACTTTATTTGTATACCACTCCTCTCAGCCCTTAGGCGACTCAGAGCGGTTAACAGCACAGTTTCAGTATACAAAATACAAGGTTATTGGGTATTTAAAAGCAATCACATAACAAGTTCACACTTTCCTCAAGGAGACAAGAGTCCTTTCTCCCACCTTGGACATTCCACAGATATATAAACCAAACTTGTCTAGTTTCCAACAGACTTCAGAACCTCTGAGGATGCCTGCCATAGATGTGGGCAAAACATCAGGAGATAATGCTTCTGGAACATGGCCAGACAGCCCAAAAAACTCACAGCAACCCAGTGATTCCGGCCACGAAAGCCTTCAACAATATACGATAATAATAATCCAATAATAATCCTACAATATAATACTACAAGAAAGAAGATTCGTCCAGAACATTAGGAAGAACTTCCTGACTGTGAGAGAGAGCTGTTCAGCAGTGGAACTCTCTGCCCCGGAGTGTGGTGGAGCTCCTTCTTTGGAGGCTCTTAGACAGAGGCTGGATGGCCATTTGTCAGGGGTACTTTGCCATTTTCCTTCTTCTTGGAAGAATGGGGTTGGACTACGCCCACCAGGTCTCTTCCAATTCTAGGATTCTATGATTCTACTATAAAACTATAATATAATACTATAATAATAACATATAATAATAATATTTTAAGCAAACATTATTTTGTTGTTTCTCAGACCTTGCCATTTGTTTCCAAATCAGAGAGCAGCTCCATCACTAAAAAACAAACAAACAAGGAAAGCATTTCTCTTTCAGAAGAGAAAATGCAGCAAATAAACATTATAATGCTATAATAATTATCTATAATGCGATGTAATAATATAATAATAGATAAAATGTGCCTTTGGGCAAGTATAGAGTGCTTTCTGTTTTATGTTGGATTATTCCGGATATATATATATTGGTGAATTCAATCAGTTTGTAATAGTTTTTGTGGATTGTATTTATCCAAAAGGAAAGCTCATTGGATTAGCTTCCAGTTCCTCACCAGTGTGCCATTGGAGCCTTTACTATATGGACGTAGGGTTACAGCCTGTGTTAGACGGGGTTCCACTCCCCCTGAAGACGCAGGTTCGCAGCTAGGGAGTGATCCTGGACTTATAGCTGAGCCTGGAACCCCAGGTCTCGGCGGTGACCAGGGGAGCATTTGCACAATTAAAACTTGTGCACCAGCTACGCCCGTACCTTGGGAAGTCTGACGTGGCCACGGTAGTCTACGCTCTGGTTACATCCCGTATAGACTACTGCAACACTCTCTATGTGGGGTTCCCTTTGAAGACTGTTCGGAAGATTCAACTGGTCTAATGGATGGCAGCCAGATTACTAACGTGAGCGGCGCCCAGGGAGCATACAACTCTTCTGCTGCGCCTGCTCCACTGGCTGCCAGTTTGCTACCGGGCACAATTCAAAGTGCTGGCTTTAGCCTATAAAGCCCTAAATGGTTCTGGCCCAACTTACCTGTCCGAACACATCTCCCCTTATGAATCATCTAGGATGATAAGATCGTCTGGGGAGGCCCTGCTCTCGACTCTGTCTGTGTCACAAATACGTTTGGCGGGGACAAGAGACAGGGACTTCTCAGTGGTGGCCCCTCAGCTATGGAACACCTCTCCTAGGGACATTAGATCAGCCCCCTCCCTTTTGACATTCTGAAAAAAAGTCAAGCAGACATTCGAAAAGCAGTGTAATTAGACATAGAATTATGGAACAATTGAACTATGAGCTTGGATTATGTTTTTATCTAGGAGACGAAATGATTGTTTTTACTACTGTCATGATTTTAATTGATGTGTTAATGCTTTGTAATGTTTTTATGATGTTGTTGGCATTGAATTGTTGCCTTGTGCCTCGAGACGCCTATGGGCTGAGAGGGCTGGTATACAAATGTAGCAAATAAATAAATATAAACTGCAGAATTAACGCAGTTTGACTATGCTTTAGCTCAGTGCTCTGGAATCTTGGGAGTTGTAGTTTGGTGTAGGCTAAAGACCTGGTACAATCTCAACAATTGAAGTCTTTTCGCGGAGAGAAGAAATGGGGTATAAATAAACATAAATAATAATTCTCCTTATTCCATAGTGTTGAGCCACGGCTATTCAGGTGGTGCCAAACTGCATTCATTTGTACTTTTGGCAAAGTGAGTTTGTGATCGTTTGGGACATAAGGGAACTATGGCTGCCCAGTGACATCAGGCCTAGCTGATGACCAGGAAATTGCATCACAAAATAATCAGTTTTTTTCCTGCTTGCCATCTGCACTCAACCAAAATCTGAAGCCCCTTGGACATGATTGGCAGCCCTCCGATGCACTCCATTCAAGTCCTCCATTTCTTTGAGATCCAAGTTTAAGAACAGAGCAAAGTTACAAGGGTTTATTGGGTATGGATGAGTCCAGTAGCTCTTACACATCGACTTCAGATTCGGAGGTATTATTTATTCTCCAGTCCCAAAAGCCAGCCCAGCCCTTCTTGGATGCATTCAGACAAAATGGAAGCAGATTTGGAGGCCTTTGAACAGAGGCTGCTTAGCCATCTGTCGGGAGTGCTTTGATTGTGGTTTTCCTGCTTGGCAGAAGGGGTTGAACTGGATGGCCTTTGAGGTCTCTTCCAACTCTATGATTCTGTCTGTAGTCGGTTCATTTTCACTGACTAGAAATAATTGAAAGATACAATCCAGACTGTAAAGTGTAAAAATAGGAATCTGATCTTGCTGTCAGCAAGAGATCCTGCCAAGTCATTTTTTCCTAGTCTCTTCAGCATCGTTGGTTTCTTTCCTCTTTATTAGCAACCGTTTAATATAACTATTCATTTATTATTTACTAGCCGTCCCCTGCCACGCGTTGTTGTGGCCCAGTTTGGTGATCTGGAAAATAAAGAGAAAGTGTTGGTTTCTAATATATGTAATTTCTTTATGCTTGTGTTGATGTAGAGATTGTCAGGTTAGCCTACTCTGGAACATGCAACATATAATTTTCCTTGTTTAGGGGTCCCTTTCACATCTATCATACTATGTGTGTGTGTGAATAATATATATCTGTCTATATCTATGGCTAGATGGCTCTTTGTCAGGAGGTCCTTGTTCAAGTTTTCTTGCCCTGGTGAAGGGAGTTGGACTGGATGGCCTTAAGTATTTTCTGTTGGTCATCGGGGTTCTGTGTGGGAAGTTTGCCCCAGTTCCGTTGTTGGTGGGGTTCAGAATGCTCTTTGATTATAGGTGAACTATAAATCCCAGTAACTACAACTCCCAAATGTCAAAGTCTATTTCCCCCAAACTCCACCTGTGTTCATATTTGGGCATATGGAATATTTGTGCCAAGTTTGGTCCAGATCCATCATTGTTTGAGTCCACAGAGCTCTCTGGATGTGGGTGAACTACAATTCCTAACTCAAGTTCAATGTCCACCAAACCCTTCCAGTGTTTTCTGTTGGTCATGGGAGTTCTGTATGCCATGTTTGGTTCAGTTCCATCATTGGTGGAGTTCAGAATGCTCTTTGATTGTAGGTGAACTATAAATCCCAGTAACTACAACTCCCAAAGTCTATTTCCCCCAAACTCCACCTGTGTTCATATTTGGGCATATGGAATATTTGTCCCAAGTTTGGTCCAGATCCATCATTGTTTGAGTCCACAGTGCTCTCTGGATGTAGGTGAACTACAATTCTCAAACTCAAGGTCAATGTCCACCAAACCCTTGTAGTGTTTTCTGTTGGTCATAGGAGTCCTGTGTGCCACGTTTGGTCCAATTCCATCATTAATGGAGTTCAGAATGCTCTTTGATCGTAGGTGAACTATAAATTCCAGCAACTACAACTCCCAAATGGCAAAATCAAATTTTTTGAGTGATGGTCACTCCTTGGGTTAGTAGGTGTCTCGTGACCAAATTTGGTGTCAATTTGTCCAGCGGTTTTTGAGTTCTGTTAATCCCACAAACGAACATTGCATTTTTATTTATATAGATTTACGGCATTTATCAGCCATACTATAGCCCTGAAATGGAAAATAATAAGTATCTTTGAGCATCGATCCTAAAACATGTTTGTCAGAAAGTAAGACTGATTTCAACTTGGACCCTAAAGCTAAAGCTGGGTTATTTTAAGCTCATAAGTTAGAAAAAGTTTCTTTGGGAAGACTAAAACCATAGTATGGTCATTACCTGGGCATTGTAGTCCTCTCCAAAAAGCAGTTTTCCCCCCAAATTTTTGATAAAATGTGATTTATTAAGTGGCTAGCAAATGGAACAGATTTGTATTGGTCCGTCTCTGAGCCCAGCATAGAAGAAAGTGGGCTGACATAGGAAGTGGCACAGGCCTTTGGGGAGGAATTACAACTCTCTCCTTCTTCTTGCAGCCTCCAGCAAACTAGTAAAATATTAATCAAGAAGCGACTTTGGGGAACTTATTTTAAAAGCCGTATAAGTAGCATTAAACGAATGCCTGACAGCAGTACTATCAAAGGGAGGAGATGCTTTTGTAAGCACTTGCTAGATCTTCAGAATGTTTTCCTCCTGAATCCAAATGCAGTTTTCTTCAGAAGTCAAGAAAATAGATTCCAAGTGGGTGCACCTAGCTTGAACTTACATATGAGGGTTGAATGAGAAGTAATGCCTCCACCTTCATTAGTTGGGTTTGGATGGGAATGCTTTAATAAATCAAATGCAGAAATAATCCTTAGAATATGCATCCTTAGAAATTGGCATCCTACCTTTCGGTAGAAGCATTGGCAGCGGTAATCCACACAACAGTCACCACGAGGTTTGACTATTGCAACGCCTTATATGCCGGCCTTCCGAAGTCAACGACCCAGAAGATTCGGATGGTCCAAAATGTGGTGGCCAGACTTCTAGCAGGATCATCTATAAGATCCCATATTACACCGATTCTGCAACAACTGCATTGGCTACCAATATAACATCGGATCTCTTACAAGATACTGATCCTGACATTTAGAGCTCAAAATGGCCAAGGACCTTTATATCTTAGGGACTGCCTCATTCCTTTTTTCCATCAGTGGTTACCTCGATCCACCCAGGAAAATCTCCTCTACATACCGGGCCCTAGGGAGGTACACCTGGAAGCTACAAGGCGTAGAGCTTTTTCAACCTATGCTCCAGTTCTGTGGAACTCATTGCCTCCATACATTACAGCAATGTCGGAGTTGTGACCTTTTGTAAAAGCGCTCAAGACTTGGCTGTTTGGTTGTGCATTTAAGTAATCAGATCTAATTTGCCAAATACTCACTGTTGAATGTTTTTATGTTGAATGTTTTTATATTGTGAAATGCTATTTTAAATTGTAAGTCGTTCGGAGCACCTTGGTGGAGAGCGACTAATTAAGAAATAAAATGAAGTGAAGTGAAGAATGTGCTCTTTTAACGACCACTATTCACCTTTCCACATAATCACCACTATTCACCATTCCACTATTCACAATTCCACACAATTGGATACGTTCACAATTCCAATTATTCCAATTCCAATACATTCACGATTCCAATTAATAGTGGAACAATTCCACTATTCACAATTCCACACAATTGGATACATTTCTGCCAACGATGAACAAGTTTTCTGAAGCCGTCACGGAAGAAGTTGACACTGTTCCCACCATCCATTGTGCACAGATCTTCCAATAGCCAAGCAAAGCAATAATGTGACCCACACGTTCTTGTGAAATGCCGATTATGCTTGACATTTCTCTCTGAGTGATATGACGAGCGTCCTGAATCAGTCTGTCAACCTTTTGCTTGTGAAACTCGGTGGTTGCTGTCCCAGGACGTCCAATTGTCACGCAAGTCAGATGTTCCCACCTAAACATATTTAAACTTTCTTGCCCAATCACCATAAACACAATCAACACAATCACCATAAACAGATTGCATTCTCTGATTAATCTCCTTTGGGGTGACACCTTCTGCTGTCAAGAATTCAATGACTGCATGTTGCTTAAGTCGCATTAATCAACTGTCTGTGCAGGGTTCCATACTTTGCAGTTTAACAACACAACCATTCAATGCTAAGGCTTCATGCCAAAATGGAACTGTAGAGGAGAGTCTACTGAACAAGCCAGTACCTGCCACATACAAGTACTGCCATCTGTTGAGGAGTTACGAAGGTGGAGGCATTACTTTTCATTCAACCCTCATATTGTAATTGTGTGTGTATATATACATGTATATCTAGCTATCTATATCAGTGGTTTCCAACCCATGGTCCATGGACCCATGCTTCCTCGGAGATGGTGAGTGGAGGAACTACTGGAATTCCAAGCACATCTTGCTAGGATGCTTTGAGAACATTTACAGTGATGTAGATCAGCTTTGCACCTCTTGGGAGCAGACTTTTACCCTGCTATCCTTTCTCTTTCCAGACCATGTCCTTCTCTTGTTTCTTTAACCCTCTCCATGGCTGCCTATTGCATGCCAACGGCCACGGAGAAGTGTGGACAGACTGGAACAGCACGGCCAAGTTCTTCCAGTACGGATGGCGATGCACCACCAACGAGGACGCATACACCAACAAAACCCTTTTGGGGAACTGGAACGAGGAGCGTTACGATATCCGGAAAGTGCTTCAGGCCAAGCCCATGCCTTCCCAGGTCAGAGGGCCCTTGCTCACCTCTCTCTTTGTTGTCTAGCGGTCTGTTTTGAGTTGATCAGTCTCCTAGCATTGGGTTGGGGGAGCCTGAAGCCTTCCAGGTGTTGTTTGCTATGGGGATTGGGAGAGAAATTCTCACCTCAAGCAACTGGAAAGCCAAAGTATCCCCATTCCTGGTTTACAATTTTTATCCCTTTTTTAGCAATAGTTCCTCCCTGAAAAGATCTCTCAAGTAATGGATAATCTGTTTTCAAAGATGCAGGGCATATTCTTTTCTGGAAAATTAACTGATACTATATTTTCTTTTTTACACAGAGACACACACAGTTATCCATAGATATCTGGACTGTTGTATTGCTGGACTTTAGATACAGAATGGGGGATGCGTGGCTCAAGAGCAGTACGTGTGAAAAAGATCTTGGGGTCTTTGTGGACAAGTTAAACATGAGCCAACAATGTGATGTGGTGGCAAAAAAGGCCAGTGGGATTTTGGCCTACATCAATAGAGGTCTAGTGTCTAGATCCAGGGAAGTCATGCTACCCATGCTCTATTCTGCCTTGGTCAGACCACATTTGGAATACTGTGTCTAATTCTGGGCAACTTATTTGAAGGGAGATATTGACAAGCTGGAATGTGTCCAGAAGAAGGTGACTAAAATGATCAAGGGTCTGGTTTACTTTTGTATTTATGGTGGAATCACCCCCTGTGCTCGATGGGGTTACACTCCCTCTGAGGACACATTTCCGCAGCTTGGGGGTCCTTCTGGACTCGCTTTGACACTTGATGCTCAAGTGTTAGCGGTAGCTGGGAGGGCCTTTGCACAGTTAAAGCTCATGCGCCAGCTGCGCCCGTACCTCGTGAAATCTGATCTGGCCATGGTGGTCCATGTCCTAGTCACCTCTAGGTTGGATTACTGCAATGTGCTCTACGTAGGGTTACCCTTGAAGATGGCCCGGAAACTACAGTTGGTCCAGAGATCTGCAGCCAGACTACTCACGGGAGCTGGTTACAGAGAGCGGTCAACCCTCCTGTTTCAACAGCTTCACTGGCTTCCAATAAGTTTCCGGTCTCAATTCAAGGTGCAGGTCATCACCTATAAAGCCCTAAAAGGTTTGGGACCGCTTATCTTTGCGATCGCATCTTCCCCTATGAAGCAGTGCGTACCTTGAGATCTTCTGGAGAGGCATTTCTCTCTCTCCCCCGGCGTCACATGCACGGTTGATGGGGACGAGGGAGAGAGCCTTCTCGGTGGTGGCCCCCCAGCTCTGGAACTCCCTCCCTAGAGAGATCAGGCTCCCACCTTGTCCTCCTTTCATAGTCACCTAAAAACCTGGATGTTCCAGTGCGCTTTTGACTAAGCAGCTCACCAGTAACTTTCTTGTCCCTACTTGAAGTTCCGCACTTTGAACCGGCCCGCACTTTACACTGGCATATGTTCTACTTCAACATGTGTTATGACAGTATTTCCTGCCCAGTTTACCGTATTGTTGCACTTTCCTGCGCTCCTGTAAAAATGTATTGCACTCATTGAATCTGTACCTCGGCTATGTTTCTTTCAGCCATATTGTTTTATATTGCTTTCAATTGTGTTGTTATTTGTTTTATCTGATGTTTTAATTGGTTAAAGTGTTTTACATGTGTGTTTTAATTCTAATCTTGGGCATGTCCCTTGTAAGCCACCCCGAGTCCCCTAGGGGAGATGGTTGGCGGGGTATAAAATAAAATTATTATTATTATTATTATTATTATTATTATTATTATTATTATTATTATTGAGGGTTATTTTAGAGCCTAACAGCTCAGATTCCCCAACACAAATAATAAATAAAACAAGAGGAAACAGACATTGACAAACCCCCCAATAGAATAGACAAACAAATTCCTTTTCCATCTGATTCTATCCGCCTCTCCTCCTAAGTCAGAGTGGGAAAGGGCTCGAAAACGGAGATGTCAAAGTGGCAAGATCTCAAAAAGACCAAACTGGACTTCATGGTTTTGTAAGTAAACCTGAATTCCGTCTGTGCTTTCTCTTTTCAGTATGCCCACTGCTTTGAATCCACCTACTCCTCCGACTATTCCATGGAAACACCTCGCAGCACTAGAAGTAAGTGCACAAAAAGGAAACCCGGGGTCAGAATCTGGGGGTTGTAAGGTGACCTTGAGGGCATCTAGTCCCTGCTATGATTCTGAAACCTACTTACTCACTAATAGCCGATTCCAAATAAGAAGGCAAGTAGTGAGAGTTTATACTCTGAAAAATCAAATGCCATATTAGAATGATAATATGGGTCTGGAGAACAAACCCTATGAGGAGTGGCTTAAAGAGCTGGGTATATTTAGCCTGCAGAAGAGAAGGCTGAGAGGAGACATGATGAGGACCATAGATCAACATGTAAGGGGAAGTCATAATTAATATGATTCCATAAGGAAATAAACATGTGGTCTGGTGCCTCTGGCTGCGTTTTCCATCGCCAGGCACACTGCCCTTGGTGCTCCTCAGCCTTGTCCTCTCTCTTTGTCTCCTTTCTAAGGAGTTACGCGAGAGGCTCACTGGTTCCCTGGACACCAGCCGGAGCTGGAGCCGCCTCCTATCAAGCCAACAGCTCGGTCGTGTTACATGATGGATTATGAGCATCCCTATCGCAAGGAAGAACGCTGTGTGGATGAGAAGTTGCCCAAAAAACCAGAAGGAACAACACACAAACAGTAGGTTCGGAGGAGGCTCTAGCGTGCCTTGGGACAACCCGTATGGCCAGAAAGACTGCTTGCAAGATCTGGATGCCCTTTCTCTTCTTTAAAGGCTGGACTGCTGGGTAGGGACTCAGAAACTGTGTCTGGAAATAAAAATGTGCACCAAAGGTAGGAGGTGATTCTTCCTAATTCTTCCGTTATTTCCTAATGTTTTTAATCTGTTTTCTTTTGCCTTGGCATATTGTGTGAAGCTCTATCCATTAAAGGTGTTTGACTGTGCAGGTACGAATCTCACAAGGTGTTTTGCTAAAACAACAATGGATTGGGGTCACTTATTAGTATATAACGAAAATGGTATCAATACAAATAGAGAATTCACAAACAATTTTATCATCTTTCTTTACAGTCCCAACTGGGTATTAACTGCTGGGGTTCAGCCTGTGTGTGAACTTGAACCTGACTCTCTGATTGTATTTCCTGATGCTCATGTATTTCCTGATGCCCATGTGGATTCTGAGGCCAATTTAGATAATAATGGGTTGAGTAGTGAAAATCCTACAGCCTTGGAAAGCGAAAATCAAGATTCCCATGAGAACATACATTCCGAGCCAAGTGGAGATGGTTCACTCCCTTTTCCTCCAAGTTTTAGCTCTCTAGAGAATCCGGCACCTGGCCTGCCTAATGAGGATAGGCGGGGGCAGATTTGGCAGAGTCGGGGAGAAGCCCAGTGTTTACGCAGGTCAGCCAGATTGAAGGAAATCCAAGCAAAATCTTCAGGCTTGTCTCGCAATAGATTTCTTGGCTTTAAATATGACTGCTCTGAATACAACTTCAGACCAGGCATCATTCCAGATTCATGTGCCAGCATTACAGGTCTCCTGATTCAAGTAGCCTTGTTCCTCGGAGGTTTTCTAGATGTCCTAAGTATGGTTAGTGATTTGCTAACAGGTTCCAGGTTTCAGCAGTTTTGCTGTGGGTCTCATGATCTTGTTTATGGACATTTCTTGTTGCTCATTTTTACTGTGGCTTTTTACTTTTGCATTTTTTCCTCTTTTTATCAATAAAAAAGGATTGTTCCCTGAAGCCAAGTGTGGTGGATTGTTGTCTGAGGATCCAGTTTCCTGCTCTGGGTTGCAACACTAACATTATATACTGTAATTCTGAAACATAACCTACATACCATATATACTCGAGTATAAGCCGACACAAATATAAACCGAGGTACCCAATTTTGCCACCAAAGATGGGAAAACTTATTGACTCGAGTATAAGTCGAGGATGGGAAATGCAGCAGCTACTGGTAATACAAAATAAATATAGATACCAATAAAATTAATTAATTGAGGAAACAGTAGCTAAATGTTTTTCAATGTTTACGTAAAACTGTAATTTAAAATAAGACTGACCAACTTTGATTAAACCATTATTCTAACCTTTTTCAGTGTAAATGTGCTCACGTATCATTCCAATAATAATAGAGTAAAATAATAAATGTAATCAACAACAATAAAGTAAAATAATAAATGTAATAATAATAAAAATAGAGTAAAATAAATGTAATAATATAATAATAGAGTAAAATAATAAATGCAATAACAATAATAAAGTAAAACTATAAATGTAATAATAATAATAACAGAGTAAAATAAATGTAATAAAATAATAATAGAGTAAAATAATGTAAATGTAATAACACCAATAATAGAGTAAAATAATAAATGTAATAAAATAATAGTAATAACAGAGTAAAATAATAAATAACTTTGACTCGAGTATAAGCCGAGGGCAGCTTTTCCAGCCTAAAAAAGGGGCTGAAAAACTAGGCTTATACTTGAGTATATACTGTATCAAAAGGAGAAAAGTCCAAAAGTCTGGTATATATACAGAACACGACAACAAGTAATCCTGGGTACAATGTCCTGTTTCGGGGGATCCTTCATCAGATTGTGTTGATTTACAAATAGTCTATAACAGTCTTTTGCAACTGGAAAGAATTGTTTGAGCTTTACATGAGCAACGGCATGTTAGTCCTTTATATTTCTGTATATTTTTTATAGTTTGTACACTTGACTAAAGGTTTGTAGAACATATGGGGTGTTTATACATATCTATTTTGGTTTATTCATTACAGTTACTGTCAGTATGTGCCCATATTTTGTTTAGAAGATCAGCACGAGAAAGCCTTGAATTTAAACAGGACTAAACAAGTGTAATTAAAGAGACAGCAATCTATCCATAACAACATACAAGAATATCTTGAGACCACAGATTCAAGAAGAATATAACCGCATATCAAAAGACTGTTATAGACTATTCTGTTTTTGCCATCTGCTTCTTTGGCCCTGGAATTCAACAAAAAAGCTCCTGTTTTGTAGCAAATTTCCTACGAGGCCAAAACAGGACATTGTACCCAGGATGACTTGTTGTTGTGTTATGTGTATATACAACACTTTTAGACTTTTCTCCTTATGATACTTATATAGGTTATGTTTCAGGAGTTACAGTATATAATGTTAATACCCAGTTGGGACTGCAAAGAAAGATTATAAAATTGTTTGTGAATTGATACGATTTTTGTTATATCGCAATATAGATATCTGTGCCTAATTGTCACTTCTTAGTAACCAAACCTGCCCCTTGTTCAGAGTTCACCATAAATAAAACCCTGTTTCAAAGAACTGGGGGGAAGAAGCCCCTGGATGCTTTACTCATGGTCTTTATTTGTTAGTAAACAACCTCATTTGTTTCACAAATAAATAACAGCAGCTGCTCATCGGTGCCATCTTCTCGCCTTGTGTCCAGTGGGCGTCCTCGGGTATAAAAGGGGCCAGTTCTACTTCTTTTGCCCGGCTGGCAGCGCCGGTTTCTCCTCCCTCGTGATGGGGATGGTCCGCTCGGGCACCTCCACTGCCTTCCGTGGTCCGTTCACCGTCAGGACACCGTCCGAAGAGAGAGAGGAGGTGAAGGAGAGCGGGTCCACGTCGGCCGGGATCTTGTACTTTCTGCTGAACTCTCTGGCGATGAAGCCGTGCTCGTCCTTTTTTTTGGAGGAGAGGAGAAAGGAGTGGGATCGTGAGCATCCTATTGGACAATCCGGGCGGAACAGACCCTTGAAGTGGGGGGCTATGCTATCTCTCCCAAGCCATCCTTTTCCACCCACGTTTGCCTCCCCATCGCCCTGAAAGAGGAAGGCTATTCAGGCCAAGACCAGACCAACCTGGCGCTCTTCGTGTTTCCCCCACACTTCAATCATGTCCCCCAAAACCTTCACTTTAAGCTCCTCGGGAGAGAAGTGCTTCACGTCCACGTTCACAAAAAACTTGTCTTTATCCATTCGCATCTGTGGACAAAGAATCTTATTTGAAATGGCCAAAATAATACAATGTTTCATAACTAGAGATCCTGGGAACAGAAAGATATTTTTTCCTCTCCCTGGAACTAGAGCCAGAGTCTATTTTTAAATTGTATTTATGCCCCTCTTTTTCTCCCAATTTGGGACCCAATGTACTTTACAATGTAAGTTAAGACAGGACTAAATAATACAAAGGCTTTAAACATTAAGTCATAACATTGAAAGGTGTCAAACTTGTGTCCCGATGTTTTGGACTTCAACTCCTAGAATTCCTGGCCTTTGGACAAGATGGCTAGGGCTTCCGGGAGTTGGTTTAGACCCATAGCATCTATATCTATATAAATAAAAATGTAATGTTCGTTTGTGGGATTAACATAACTCAAAAACCACTGGGCGAATTGACACCGAATTTGGACATCACACACCTATCAGGCCAATGAGTGGCCATCACTCGTAAAAACACAGAAAAACACAGCAGAAGGGACTTAAAAAGCCGAAAAACAAAGATAGATTACAGCGCATGCACAAAACCACATATATATACGCAAACACACATATATACACATATACACAAATATATACACACACACACATATATATATACACATACACAGGCTGGGCCACAGCAATGTGTGGCAGGGGATGGCTAGTATATAAATAAAAATGTAATCCTTTATGGGATTAATGTAACTCAAAAACAACTAGGTGAATTGACATGAAATTTGGACACAATACAACAGTCCAACAAGTGTCTGTCACCCCTAAACACACACACATACACAAAACCCCAGCAGAACAGACTTAAAACCCCCCAAAATACACCATATATACATATACGCATACACTCATATACATATACACATGCACACATTCATACACACACACACGTGTGTGTGTATATATATATACATACACACATATATATGCACACACACAAATATACACGTATACACACATACATATACATACACACATATATACATTTGCACATGCACACACAAATATACATATATACACACATATACATATACACATATACAGCTTTAAAGTCCTGAACGATTCTGGCCCAGATTACCTGTCTGAACGTATCTCCTGCTATGAACCATCACGAAGCTTAAGATCGTCAGGAGAGGCCCTGCTCTCGATCCCACCACTCTTGCAAACGCGTTTGGTGGGGACGAGAGACAGGGCCTTCTTGGCAGTGGCCCCCTGTCTGTGGAACTCTCACCCTAAGGACATCAAGTTGGCCACCTCCCTCCTGTTCTTTAGAAGACAACTGAAGACCTGACTCTGGGGCCAGGCGTTCAATTAGAGGCCAGCGGCAATAGGAAAAGAAAATTTGGATTTTGCAATCTGGATTCTCCCGGCTCGGCTTGGTTTTTACTGGCACGTTAATCTATTAATTTATTGTTGTATAATGTTTTAAAATGATTTTATTGTGAATTGTAATTTTTATGGTATTTATGCTGTTAGCATCCTCCGATACTCATGTGAGGCCGCGCTGTGCGGAGAAGGGTGGGATAGAAATATATGAAATAAATACATAAATAAATATACACATACATACACACATATAGAATCATAGAATCATAGTTGGAAAAAACCATCCAGTCCAACCCCTTGCCAAGAAGCAGGAATATATACACACAAATATGCATATAGACAATCACACACATATACACAATATGCATGTACACATATATATACACCCACATATACACAGACATATACACACACAAAAAACCACATATACACAGACTGGGCCACAGCAACATGTGGCAGGGGACGGCTAGTAGTATATACACAAAATACAGCATGTCCCATTACAAGACCTTTCTGCCACAACCTATATATATAGAAAGGTTTTCAGTGAGGAACTCCAGTGGTGCAATGGATTAAACCCTTGTGCTGGTAAGATTGATGACCAACAGATCTTAGGTTGGAATCTGGGGAGAGTAGGTTGAGCTCCCTTAGTCAGCTCCAGCTCCCCATGCGAGGACATGAGAGAAACTGTCCATAGGATTGTAAAACATCAAACATCTGGGTGTCCCCTGGGCAACATCTTTGTAGACTGTCAATTCTCTCACACCAGAAGCGACTTGCATTTTCTCAAGTTACTTTTGGCACGAAAAAAAGGTGAGAAATTCAAGGAAGTATTGTCGAAGGCTTTCATGGCTGGAATCATTGGGTTGCTGTGAGTTTTTCGGACTGTATGGAATCTCTAAAGATGCCAGCCGCAGATGCAGGCAGAACGTTAAGAGAGAATTCTGCTGGAATATGGCCATACAGCCCAAAAAACTCACAGCAGCCCAACACAAAGCAGTGATTCCTAAGCTTAGGAAGGAGATGAATTTCTGCAGAACGAGGAGAATGATACAGTCAGTAGGTCTTGAGCCAGCAGGTCTCCATCTTTGGTCCTCTTCCAATGCCATAAGTCTGTGAGCAAAGTTCAGAGATTTGGAGAACTGAGGCCTGAAGCTTTTGGAGAGCAGAAAGCGGAGAACCTTTGACTTAGATGGCCTCAGATAGAAAGTCATAGAGGATGTGACTCTTGCATAGGACTTCTGCATTTGGGGCAACGTGCTATTGACTAAGATTATACTTTTGGGCAAATTTGCCAAATTGGGAAGTAGTCTGTTGACTTAAGCATGGGCAAACTTGGGTCCTCCAAGTGTTTTGGACTTCAACGCCCACAATTCCTAACCTCGGGCCCCTTCCTTTTCCCCCTCAGCCACTTAAGCGGCTGAGGGGGGAAAGGAAAGGGCCCGAGGCCAGGAATTGTGGGAGTTGAAGTCCAAAACACTTGGAGGACCCTAGTTTGCCAATACCTGGCTTAGATGCTCCTCTGATCCAGCTACAGTAGGACCATTCTGCCATTCATAAGGTGACAATGTAACTCCAAATGTCTTGGTTGTGATGGATCTTCCTTACTTACTTTAAGAACGCCAGGAAATGTATTGGCCAACATGGAGACTTTCCATCATGGAAAGCAAGGCGAGACCCACCAAAGCCACCACATGAGCCAGTGTTGTGAGCAATAAACATTAGAGCAGAAAAGGTACAAAGTATGGACCTTGAGATGTTGGGTCTCTGCTTCCAGCACTCCTCTCCATTGGCTACATTGTCCAACCCTACTTGGAATTGTGATCCAACATCATCTCTAGAGCTGTGCATTTCTCACCCTGGTTTAAACCTCTGATGCCACCTTACTTGGGTAGATGTTTTCTCCATTCTCTCACTCATTCTGCAGATATTCGTCCCATTCTTAAACTTAGAAGTTGCTTTGGATAGTGTTGAATAGTTAGATCAGTGGTTCTCAGCCTTCCTAATGCCACAATCCCTCAATATAGTTCTTCATGTTGTGGTGACCTTCAACCATAACATTATTTTCATTGAGACTTCATAACTGCAATTTTGTTACTGTTCTGAATCGTAATGTAAATATCTGATATGCAGGATTTATTTTCATTCACTGGACCAAATTTGGTACAAATAACCAATACACACAAATCTGAATACTGGTGGGGTTGGGGAAGGGGATTGATTTGGTCATTTGGGAGTTGTAGTTGCTGGGATTAATAGTTCACCTACAATCAAAAAGCATTCTGAACTCCACCAATGATGAAATTGAACTAATCTTGAACCCCCACAACCAACAGAAAATACTGGAAGGGTTTGGTGGGCATTGACCTTGAGTTTTGGACTTGTAGTTCACCTACATCCAGAGAGCACTGTGGACACAAACAATGATGGATTTGGACCAAACTTGGCATGAATACTCAATATGCCCAGATGTGGACACTGGTGGAGTTTGGGGAAAATAGAGTTTGACATTTCGGAGTTGTAGTATCTGGGATTTATAGTTAACCTAAAACCAAAGAGCATTCTGAACTCCACCACGAATGGAATTGAACCGAAGTAGGCACACAGAACTCCCATGACCAACAGAAAATACTGGAAAGGTTTGATGGGCACTGACCTTGAGTTTTGGAGTTGTGGTTCACCTACATCCAGAGAGTACTGTGGACTGAAACAGTGATGGATCTGGACGAAACTTGGCATGAATACTAAATATGGCCAAATGTGAATGCTCGTGGGGAAAATAGACCTTGACATTTGGAAGTTGTAGTTCACCTACATTCAAAGAGCATTCTGAACTCCACCAACAATGGAATTGAACCAGTCTTGGCACACAGAACCCCCACAACCAAAAGTCTGTGGAGGACTTTGCCTTTGGAAGATCCCCAGGTGGAGAAACTCTGAGTTAGATGGATTTCACAGGACTATGTCTTCCAAAGGTAAAGCTTGCAATGTCAATATCCATCGGTGGAGGACTTTGCAGTCCCTTGTCTTTGGAAGACCCCCAGGTGGAGAAACACTGAATTAGATGGATTTCACAGGACTATGTCTTCCAAAAGTAAAACTAGCAATGTCAATATTCATCAGTGGAGGACTTTGCAACCCCTTGCCTTTGGAAGACCCCCAGGTGGAGAAAGGCTGAGTTAGATGGATTTCACAGGACTATGTCTTCCAAAGGTAACACTTGCAATGTCAATATCCATTGGTGGAGGACTTTGCACCTCTTGCCTTTGGAAGACCCCCAGGTGGAGAAACGCTGAGTTAGATGGATTTCCCAGGGCGATGTCTTCCAAAGGTAAAGCTTGCAATGTCAATATCCATAAGTGGAGGGCTTTGCAACCCCTTGCCTTTGGAAGACCCCCAGGTGGAGAAACACTGAGTTAGATGGATTTCACAGGACTATGTCTTCCAAAGGTAACACTTGCAACGTCAATATCCATTGGTGGAGGACTTTGCAACCCCTTGCCTTTGGAAGACATAGACCTGTGAAGCATTCCCATATCTGCACAGAATTCCCATATGAATGAATACAAAGAGGGGCGTTATTACCTCTGCGAATCTGTTTTCCAGCCAGCCAGTGTTCCTGAGATAGTAGGGCCTCCAAAAGAAAGAACTAAAGGACCAGGAGGCGGGGAAGAGTTCGGATTCAGCCAGGTGTTCCCCAAAAGTCTGGTTGTAGATGCGACTGGGCACGGCGGCGGGCTTGCGGAAGAAGGGATGGTAAACGGAGATATCCATCTGGGTTGGTCCCGGGAGGAGAGGCAGGCAGAAACAGGCTGGCCGGCCAAGGCAGCGAGGAGGGCTTTATATGCTGCCCGGGTGCCAGGCGGTGCCCAGGGATGAACCCTCCAGAACGGTGAGGTCAGGCCTTTCCATTATCTCCCTTCCCCCCCCCCCCCCACCACCGGCACCATTCAGGCAGATCAGCTGGTGATTTCACCCACGTTGCTGAAAAGAGAATGCCGCTGAATTCTCGCAGGTCAGCATGAAACTGTCTCCGTCCCACACTTGATTATTATTATTATTTCCCCCCTGTCTTTATAAAAACACCAGCAGTTCAATTAGGCTGAGCTGGCCACATCGGATGCCAAGGCAAATCACACGGTCGTTCCCTTGTGTGTCCTCAATAGAGCCCAGTTTGTAAATGTGACTCTTCTCCTGCCGCACTTTGGGTGCATCTACACTGTCCAATTCATGCACTTCGATAGCAGTGCTTCTGACTTGTGCTTCCTTGTGGGAGAAAGGAATTGGCACTTCATGAAGACATGGGTCAGTAGGAATAATAAAGGAAGGGCAAAAGCTGCACATGACAAGTGTTGAACCTGACTCAGCACATAGAAGATGGTTTTGAAAGGCAGCAGATTACTGGAGTTGTCTTCATAGACCTGTCGGCAGCTTATGACACTGTAAATAACCACCTTCTCTTGAGAAAAACTTACAATATCACAAAGGACTACCACCTCACCTGCTTCATAGTAAATCTGCAACAAAACAAGAGCTTTTTTGTTGAGTCCCAGGGCCAGAGAAGCAGATAGTGAAGACAAAAGGACGGCCTGCCTCAGGGGAGCATGCGTGCTCCATCAATATATAACATTTACACAAATGATTAGCCACTGCCAGGAGGGAAAGAAAGTTTAATCTATGCTGATGATCATGCCATCACCACACAAATAGGGAGCTTTGAAATAGTTAAAAAGAAGTTCTCCAAAGCTTTAGGTCAGCATTTCTCAACCTGGGGATCGGGACCCCTGGAGGGGTCATGAGGGAGTGTCAGAGGGGTCACCAACGACCATCAGAAAACACAGTATATTCTGTTGGTGATGGGGGTTCTGTGTGGGAAGTTTGGCCTAATTCTATTGTTGGTGAGGTTCTGAATGCTCTTTGGTTGTAGGTGAACTACAATGCCCAAATATCAAGGTCTATTTTCCCCAAACTCCACCAGTGTTCACATTTGGGCATATTGAATATCCGTGCCAATTTTGGTCCAGATCTAGCATTGTTTGACTCCACGGTGCTCTCTGGATGTAGATGAACTACTACTCTAAAACTCAAGGTCAATGCCCACCAAACTCTTCTAGTATTTTCTGTTGGTCATGGGAGTTCTGTGTGCTAAGATTGTTTCAATTCTGTCATTGGTGAAGTTCAGAATGCTCTATGATTGTAGGCGAACTATAAATCCCAGCAACTACAACTCCCAAATGACAAAATCAATCTCCCCACAAACTCTACCAGTATTCAAATTTGGCATATTGGGTATTTGTGCCAAATGTGGCCCTGTAAATGAGAATACATCCTTCGTATCAGATATTTGCATGACTATTCATAATAGTAGCAAAATGACCGTTATGAAGTAGCAACAAAAATAATGTTATGGTTGGGGGTAAGCACAACATGAGGACCTGTATTAAAGGATCGCGGCATTACAACTCCCAAATGACAAAAATAAATTACAACTCCCAAAGGCCAAATTTGGTCCAGTGGATGAAAATACATCCTGCATATCAGATATTTACATTACGACTTGTAACAGTAGCAAAATGACAGTTATGAAGTAGCAACAAAAATAATGTTATGATTGGGGGTCACCACAACATGAGGACCTGTATTAAGGGATTGCGGGATTAGGAAGGTTGAGAACCACTGCTTTAGGTGCTCTTACTTCCTAGCACAGGGGAAACCAGCTGATTCCTATTCCATCTAAAATGCAGACATGTGTTTTTCATCTTAAGAACAGACAAACATCTTGAACACCTCACTCGCTTGATAGTAAATCTGCTACAAAACAGGAGCTTTTTTGTTGAGTTCCAGGGCCAGAGAAGCAGATGGCAAAAATAGAAGAACAGTGATTTAATGCAGCTGGCTACTAACTAGATGTGCCACAGCTTAAACTTCAAGCAACATCAAACTGCATTCTGTCTTTTGGGCTACATAGGTCAAAAGCAAGCTAGACTATTAATGGTCGGGAGCTCACTCCGTCCCAGGCTGGCTTCGAACTCATGACCTCTTGGTCAGTAGTGATTTAATGCAGCTGGCTACTAACTAGCTGCGCCACAGCTTGAACTTCAAGCGACATCAAACTGCATTCATTCCACAGATGCACCTAATGAAACTCACGGCAACAAAATGCTCTGTTGTTTTGTTTACGCTGGGAAAAAGTTGCTTTTGGGGGACTACAACTCCCAAATACCCAAACCTTGCCTTCCGACAACTCCTTCCCTTCCATTGGTGCCCTATTTGGGTCCGAACCTATGACTCCATCCTCCATCCCAGAGGCTTTCGACACGGATGCTAAGAATAATGAAGTGACTCATTGCGCCAACTGGGTGGGTTCAATCCGGAACGTGGGAGCAGGCCGTCTGAGCGTGGAAAGGCTTGGTTGCCTGCCTTGCGCCGCCTCCAGCTGAGCATGAGATGAATGCGGCCAAACCTGTCTCTCTGTTCCTCTTTCCTCGCCCTCATGCCTTTTCTATGCAGCGCTTGGGAAAGGCAAACACTACCTTCGGTTTCATTGAAACATTGCATCTCCAAAACCCTTGGCAGCTGAAACACTCCATCTAAACCTATAATAAGTACATTCAGTGGATGGTTGTCGACTTCCTGATTTTTCATTCTTATTGAGACAGTTGCTTTGCATTTTACGTGTTAAATCAATAAACCAATTGGATTACTAGTTGCCTGGAAATCTTATATAAAGGGCAAAATAAATGCATTATACGAGGCGTGATGGGCATTGTTTCCATTTCTTGTTTTACTATTTTCCCGGGGTTAGTTGACTCACCGCAGTGGGTACAAATAATAATAATCACAATCACAACAAACCACAATGAATCCCACAATGAATAAAGGTGGGATACAAGTTCCTATGAGCCCCCAGTGGTGCAGCGGGTTAAACCGCTGAGCTGCTGAACTTGCTGTCCCACCTTTGTCACAAGTACGTTTGGCGGGAACGAGAGATGGGGGCTTCTCAGTGGTGGCCCCTCAGCTATGGAACACCCTCCCTAGGGAGATCAGATCTGCTCCCTCCTTATTAATGTTTTGGAGGCAAGTTAAAACACGGCTGTTCGAGCAAGTGTTTACAAATGCAGAGTAGCTAATATAGGAAATCGAATGATTTGACACTAATACAATGACATATTATTATTTATTATTTACTAGCTGTCCCCTGCCACGTGTTGCTGTGGCCCACATGAGGGTTCTATGTGTGAGGTTTGGCCCAATTCTATCATTGGTGGGGTTCAGAATGCTCTGTGATTGTTGTTGTTGTTCATTCGTTCAGTCGTCTCCGACTCTTCGTGACCTCATGGACCAGCCCACGCCAGAGCTGCCTGTCGGCCGTCACCACCCCCAGCTCCTTCAAGGTCAGTCCAGTCACTTCAAGGATGCCATCCATCCATCTTGCCATTGGTCGGCCCCTCTTCCTTTTGCCTTCCACTTTCCCCAGCATAATTGTCTTCTCTAGGCTTTCCTGTCTCCTCATGATGTGGCCAAAGTACTTCAACTTTGTCTCTAGTATCCTTCCCTCCAATGAGCAGTCGGGCTTTATTTCCTGGAGGATGGACTGGTTGGATCTTCTCGCAGTCCAAGGCACTCTCAGCAGTTTCCTCCAACACCACAGCTCAAAAGCATCTCTCTTCCTTCGCTCAGCCTTCCCTAAGGTCCAGCTCTCACATCCGTAGGTTACTACAGGGAATACCATGGCTTTGACTAGGCGGATCTTTGTTGCCAGTCTGATGTCTCTACTCTTTACTATTTTATCGAGATTGGACATTGCTCTCCTCCCAAGAAGTAAGCGTCTTCTGATTTCCTGGCTACAGTCTGCATCTGCAGTAATCTTTGCACCTAGAAATACAAAGTCTGTCACGGCCTCCACGTTTTTTCCCTCTATTTCCAGTTGTCAATCATTCTTGTTGCCATAATCTTGGTTTTTTTGATGTTTAGCTGCAACCCGGCTTTTGCGCTTTCTTCTTTCACCTGATTAGAAGGCTCCTCAGCTCCTCCTCGCTTTCGGCCATCAGAGTGGTGTCATCTGCATATCTGAGGTTGTTAATGTTTCTTCCAGCAAGGTGAACTATAAATCCCAGCAACTACAACTCCCAAATGTCAAGATTCTATTTTCCCCAAACTCCACCAGTGTTCACATCTGGGCATATTGAGTATTTGTGTAGAGTTTGGTCCAGATCCATCATTGTTTGAGTCCACAGTGATCTCTGGATGTAGGTGAACTACAACCAAAGGACACTGCCCACCAAACCCTTCCAGTATTTTCTGTTGGTCATGGGAGAACTGTGTGCCAAGTTTGGTTCAATTCCATCATTGGTGGGGTTCACAAGGCTCTTTTTAATTGTAGGTGAACTATACACCCCAGCAACTACAACCCCCAAATGACAAAATCGAAATTTTTTTTAGTGAAGGACATACATTGGGTTGTTAGGTGTCTTGTGTCCAAATTGGGTGTCAATTCGTCCAGTGGTTTATGAGTTCTGTTAATCCCACAAACTAACATTACATTTTTATTTATATAGATTTTTATTTATTTACTGTATTTGTATACCGCCTTTCTCAGCCAATTGGTGACTCAAGGCGGTTTCCAGCAAATCAGTACATATAAAAACATTAAACAATATAACATTAAAACATTAAACAATATAAAACACCACAAAAGCAATAAAAACAACATCATTAGCATCTCATTGTTATCAAGCATTGTCCAGTTTCATTGTCAATCGTTCGATTCCCTATATTAGCTACTCTGCATTTGTAAACGCTTGCTCGAACAGCCATGTTTTAACTTGCCTCCGAAACATTAATAGGGAGGGAGCAGAT